TTGTGTTTTGTGGCTTTTGCCGTTGTTGCCTCTTGTTCTCGGTCCTTGGTCGTCGTGCAACATATTGAGCCACTCATAAATGTCGAATGTGAGGTGTTCTTTATTCTTTTTAGATCTGAGAGCAGGTTTCTTTGAATGGGAAATTATTTTAACTGAGGAAGAATGCCCGTTTAGGTATCAAATAAATGTCAGAAATTCTAGAAGAGTTTTTATCAAATAAAGTTCTGAAATTGTGGCCATTCCTAGGGCATTTGAGGTTCGGATACACGCATGCATTTCCCTAATTCTTCCAGCTCCTGTTTTTCCCAAAAAATTCCTTTACAAAAACCCAAATTAATTGCTATTTGCTATTTTTGTAAAGAAAACAACGAAAAAATATGCTTGACCAAAGGTATTAAAATAATTAATTTCCTTCAGCGCGTCACATGTTTTACAAACCAAAAAGAAAAATATACGCTTAAAAAAAAGGGAAAAATTAATTATAAACAAATCTTTTCATGTCACCAACGGAATTTGTCGACGACACTTTGGCGCATTTTTTAGCTGCCCCAAAACTCAATTTTACAGCCATTTCGCCGGAGTCCGGGCGTCTCCACAATGTCCGTTCTCGGAGCAATTGTTTAGGGTCACTCAAAAGCACATTTCACTTATTATTAGCTCATTTATTACCCACCAAAAAGGCGCCTGCCTGCCTGCCTGACCCTGGGCAGCATCAGCAGCAGCACCTGGAGAAAGTTTTTGTGAAAAATGCTCGCCAATACAGAAAAAGGGAGGGAAAAAAGAAATAAATAAAAGGAAAATGCCTCTTTCTCCTGCTCTTTTGGGCACCTTAAAATTAACACATAAATTTTCAAGTGGGGTGGCCAACGTCCTGCGGCTATCCATGGCTATCCGTGGGATACTTTGGGGTTCACAGAAGTGGTGTCGAAAGGGGGGGTTGTAGGCACTGATATCAAGATATCTGCCGGCAAATGCAAATCGTATTTGATATAGCTTTCTTTTTTCAAATTTGAATCGTCGTAACCCTCCTGCCATGACCTGTCTGTCTGTCTACGCCTCTGCCTCTGCCTGTTGGGGCGGGGAGTGGCTGTCATTGAAATTTCCGTGTGAGTGCGTTCAATGTGCGGTCGATTCTACTCCTCTGTGAGCGCTGGGCAATTGACGTTGAAACTACCTGACGTGCAAAAGGTAAATTGTATCTGTGGCATTGTCATTGGCAGTTTCTTTTTCCTCTCTCCCATTTTGTTGTATTGTGTGCAAATTGGCCAACGCTTCACTTTTAATTATAGACCACTAAATTAAAATCCCTACAAAGTCTGGGCATGGGGTTTTATATTTTTGAGGTCTGAACTTCATTATCCACTCTCATGCAGCAGGCCTGAAGTAGAAAAATCAACTTTCCCGCTCCCCGGTAGTGGATGGACAGTAACAAAAGAATCGCAAGACAGGAAACGGCAAAGAAAAGAAATGAAAAGGTCCTTGGCAATGCGGAAATAAATAAACGTCGCGACTTTCCTTAAAAATCTCTGATTTCGAAACGAAGGGTGGGGGAAATTTCTTGGGTACATTTTGAATAACAAAATTAACAGCAGAATTCTACCCCAACTTGCAAGTCTGTCGCCTCAGCCTTTGCCCCAATGTTTAGTTATGCATTTCTTTCCTTTCTTTTATTTTAATTTTTTGTTTTTTATTTATTTCTTTTCTCACATCTACAGGCGGCACAAACAGAACTCGGATCGCTATGGGAAGCGATGGATAAACGAGCGACGGGACTGGGACAGGGACCGGCAAGTTTTTCTTTACTTTTTCCTCACTTTCATTTTTCCTTTCTGTTGTTTTGGTTTTCCCCTCCCCCGCTTATGGCTGAGCCATTTGTTTGTTTGCCCTGACTGCGGCAGGAGTGTAGTATCTCTTGTGCGTGGGGCTTTTCCTTGGGCCTTCCCTTTGGCTTAACGCACGCTTGCACCTTTCCTGCCTAACGGATGGGGTGGGGGGTCCATGGGTCCATGGTCCCTGGTGGCAATCCCCCAGGCGGCCACATTATTAACACTTGACTAAATATGCATTTCTTGGTTGGACACTGTCGACAGCAGCGCCAGAAGCGTTAACAAGACTCGGTAGGGTAAGGGATTTCGTTTCCAATGAGCAAAAGTCAACCAATGAAATATTAGAAAATTCATGGAAATTTGAACTGTTTTTGGATTTGTTTCTCATTGCGAATAAGAATGAAATGTCTATAAAAATCTTTGGTGGGGATGTAAATTCTTATACAATATTAAATATTATTTATTTAGAATTTATGGATATTAATTTTCTTGTAAGGTGTCTGAAACTTTTACGTTCGTTTGGCTTTAGATAAAATAATAATGAATAAATAAATAATTACATGAAATAATATTAAAAATGATAATCAGAAACATGCTACAAGCAAACACAACAACATGCAACATGCAACATTCAAGTCAATATCAACAACAACGAATTACCGATTTTAAATACAAATCTGATTTCTGAAAGCTCACTCCAAAAATCAGACTAGAATGTTTTTTTTTGCGGACGCATTCCCAACGTGTAACGCTAAAATCGTTACCCACCACCCGCCCAACCGGCGCGAGAGGCGACAGCCGCATGACGTGCAGCACGTAGAACGCGATTACGGCAAAGGTCCGGACCCTGGCCTCCATATACCGATCTTTCGCGCACGCGTACAATTTCAGACACCCTGTTTCAACATAGACTCGGATAATTTTGATTTGAATTGGATTTGGGATACATAAAAACGGACGCACATCCCCGGATAGAGCGGATAAGGCCAATGTGTAACACTCGTTGGGGGATCAAAGTCAAAGTTTAATTGCGAACGAATAATTCATTGTATTGAATTGTCTTCCATTTTGTGGCCCTACCTAACTGTTCGGGTTCGGAATTTATCATGTTCTTTTAATTGTATAACATCTTACGTACTAAATATACTGAAACGCCCTTTTTGGGGGGCGCCTACTTAGATGCAGTTTCATTTTCCCTAAATATTGATGCTTTAAGTAAGGTTATATAGATTGCGAATACATAAAATATCGGCATACATAGTGGCCCTACAATTGGTTACATATTGTTTTGAATATTGATTAAGTTATGACATTATTTTTGCGGGTAGTGACAGTTCACCCTCTTGGAATTTGTATCAGTCGATTTATATAGCGCTAGGATAACATTTTCGTATCCATACTGGCGAGCCGATTGGCGCCTCATATTCATCTCTTGGTGCTTACACATGGTGTTCTACTTACAGTAGGTTCGACTTGATCGAACTGACTGACGATCAAATGAATACGATTATTTATTTAAAGGCTTTAAAGCCGTTTCCTTTTGGGAGATGATTGTGTTCTTTCTGTGGTTTTTCTGCAATTAGAGAAGAGTGTGTTTAGCGATGAAAGCGAAAGTAGATGCTGTGGCAATCGATCGAACTTGACACGTACACTTAAGGATCTCTTCACAGTTGAATCGTTAATGAAACAAAATAATAATTATAAAAATGCATAAGCAGATGGCTTTGCGATCGAGGTAGCCCGAGAATCCAATAGCAATAACAAATAATCGGTTATGTACTGTGACCTATGTATGTAATAGTTTGCCTTAAATCGTTTATCTAATTTAATTATTAATTATTTCTTCGAATTGTAGTTAATTTATTTTTAAATATATGTACATATATAGAATATCTATTTTAATCACTTTGCACTTGGTATCTGTGTTAAACGTCACTCCTCCTATTACCATATCACATGCAAAACACATTCCACCACACATCACTCTCTCACACAAACTACACTTGCAGCGTCGATTGGGCACTCACCAAGTTAAGCGCAGGGCTCAAACTCTACTCCAAAATAATTGCCGACGGTGGGCAACGATGGGGGGGCTGGCTTGAAATTGCGAAATGTTTCTCAATTTTGGCCTTTGGTTGGGTGGCTTGGTTCTCTTCGATATGGCGAAAGATTTCAAGTCTGGAGTCTGGTAGTTGAAACTCAACTGAGCTCGTGCACATGGCCTAACTGACTTTTATAGAAAATACCATCAGATGGCATGCGCCGGAATTCATTCAAGCTGTGGTACATATGTAAAGCATGGGGCATGAGGGATCCCCAGCCATCTACTTCTCGTTCCACTGTGCCCTGTCCTTCTGCTTATTGTATTGTTGTATATGCAGTTTACCAAACAAAAATCCCAACACACTCACACCAGCAGCAGCAAAAGCAGCAGCAGCAGCAGCGACAGCACCTCGAAGTATGCAACAGCCAACCAGGCAGCACTCTGTTGCAGCAGCATCAGTGGCGCAGCAGCATTTGCAGGCAGATGAAAGGAAGATTGTATACACCATTTCCAGTGCAATAACCCCCCCTCGCCCATTTTCTCATTCTCCTGTTCCTTCATCTTCTTCTCCCATTCCGCATTAATTGCACGTGGCTCCCCTGCTGCTGCTGCTCCTGCTGCGGCTCCTGCTGCTGCAGTTGTTGTTATTTTTGCTGTTGTTGTTGGGTTTTTATGTTGTTTTGCTTGTATTTTATTTTATTGCCTTCTCTCGCTCTCTTGCAGTTGCTCTCTATCACCATCTCTCTCTCTAATGCGCACTCGCTCTCTCTTCCACACACACGCTCTCGCACTCTCTCTCTCCGCTCTCTGTGTTGTTCTGGGGGTCGTGGTGAAACTTCGTGGCTTTTTAAGGCCAAGGTACATGCAAATGAAGTTAATCGAGTACCGCTCTGTGAGTGCTACCGCCTTTCTTATCGTTGTCTTTCCAACACAGAAACATAGCACATATTTATTGAGGTCCGTTATAACCTATTTTGCTGAACAAAAATCGTACAAATATGTTCCGACACCTGCCAAATTCTGAAAAACTGCCCACGCTCTTCCAGTGCCTTACCTTTTATTGAACATGCCCTGGGTTCAACTTCGTGGCTTTCGGCGGGCTTTCGTGACGATGGCCTTCTTGGTCCTTGTACCGTTAGTCGCGCTCGGTCTTTCCAGCTCGCTCGTTCGTCGTTCGCTTTGCCGGGGCGATGCATGGGGGTGGTGGTGGTGGTGCCGCCCCCCCCTCGGCTGCATCGTATTTAGTTACATTTTGCTGTTGCTGTTGTTGTTGTTGCTGCTGCTGCTGGTGTATTTTGCATTGTTTTGTGCTGTGTTTTGTTTTGCTGCAGCTCTCGGGCCGTGACTTCGGGTTATGTACTCGTACAAGCACACCGTTTTATGATGATCGGCTCTCAGCCCGTCTCTCGTTCGCTGTTGTATATGACGTTGTGTGAGTGTGCAGCAGCAGCAGCAGCAGCAACAATGCCAAGCCATGTGATTGTGTGAGTTTATGTAGCTGTAGCTGTAGCTGTTGTTCTGTTGTATGGTTATGTACCGCTATGACTGCTGTTGCTATTGCATCCCTATTGCTATTGCTGTTTTGCTCTCTAAGCCCTCTCCCGCTCCTGCTCTAACTGCACCAGCAATTGGGGGGGCCAGGCCAGGCCAAACTAGCGCCGTCGGTTAACGGCACTTTCTGCTGCCCTGCGAGCCGCAGTCGAGCCTCTGTTGTGCAGTGTTGTGTTGTGTATTGCACTGTTGTTGTCAACGCTACGGGTCATCATCAGCAGGAGAGGCTTAGCATAGAACGCGCTCGAACCGGTTCAAGAATATCCGCATAAATAGTGGGTGTAAAATTTGTATTCTAAAATTTGAACCTATTTATTGCCGATTATAAATATTATAAAAAACATACACAAATTATACGCCGGAATTTAATTCATTAAAACTGTAAGAAAAACTATTTAACGGTGTCTGATATTTCTAAAATAATAAATACAAAATAAGAAAATAGACTGTTTAAAACTACCAAAAAAAAAATACATTTAACGAGTTAGTAATATCTATTAACAGTTATTTGAACTCTATCAAAAATAGCATAAATCTATAGAAAGAAATCTTAAATATATGTAATCTCAGCACAAAAGACTATCAGAAATATATTTCATAAAAAAATGCAATTTCGAAATTATTATCATCTAAAAGACTTTACAACTAAAAAAATTTTACAATTAACTAAAATTCATAATTAAATAATCTTACAATATACCGGAAAGAATTAAATTTTAACCGATATCCATACGCAGTGTTAGCTAATAACGTAATAACTGCTAAATATTTATATCCTCAAAGGCAAAGCAAAAATTCCCTTGCAAATAAGTGTGAAAAAATCCCCCCGAAAGAGTCAATCACAACAAACCATCACACATAAACGTTTCCGCTTCCGCTCTGTCAAACGCAACAAAAAGTGCCATAGCCTACCACGAAGGGCGACACGCACAAACAGGCACGCTGCCACACATTGGGTGCCACATTCATAAACAATTAAGTGACACTTTGAGTGGAGTGATAGGAAGCGAGCATTTAACGCCAGCAAAATTATTGTGATTGAGTTAACTTTGGCCGGACTTTGTTCAGCAATCGAATCGTTTGAGTGGATTGCGGGGCGTAAATGACTGAGTTAATATACGATTCGATACGGCAGTGGCTTAGTAATTGGCAACGAAGTTGTTAGGTAAGGCAAGTGATAAAGAAGAGAGATTAATCCATATGATTAGACTGATTTGACTGATTGAGAGGAATATAGTAGTTATATTTCTACATTGAGCAAAGGTAAGCATTGATTCCCATAAGAAAATTAAATTTTTTTTATTAGTTAAACTTTTGGAGAAATTACTGTAATTTTTGAGGAGTAATCTTTTGTAGGTTTTCTCTTAGATCCACTTTAAATTGTTCATTACTTTTTCGCGCATTAAATTTGAACAAATATTTAAATTGGATCAACTTTATAGTCAAAAATACATACTCTCGATTTCCCCATAATCTGAACAATAATCCAGGGACTATTTTTTTCTTCCATTTCCAATCATAAAGCAGACAATATCTCTTCGAATGTCTTCCACTTTTGCTGTCACTTTTCACAGCTACTTTCTAATTAACGTTAACAATTTCCCAAACTCTTAAAATAATAATCATAAAAAATATCTCGTGCAAATCCGATTAGGCGAGAGACGCCAGGGCCAAGACGCATCTGGCAATTGAAAAGTTTCAAAAATGTTCCGTTTTTCTTATTCTTAATTAAATCCAGAATACTGGCATAAACTTTTATTATTCGACGCTACCCTGCCCGGCACTCGACGCCCCCACCCTGGGCATTTGTCAATGTGGCAAAAGTGAAAAATGTTTCATTATCGAGCATTATGAAAGCTTTCCCCCAAAATGACAGGACGACAGCCGAACTCCTGTCCCGTTTCCCATTTCCCATTTTCCATTTCCTCTGGCAACTTCTGGAGTGTCAAATCATAAATATGCATCTAGCGTTTATCTAACGTCTTTATGGCTCACTCTGCCCCTACTCAACCCCCCCACATTGTCTCAGAGTCTGAGGAGCAGTCTAAGGAGCAGTGCCCCTCCTGCCCCACCCCGAACCCGGAGTAGACTTAAAAGTAATTTTACGTCTGACTAAACATTAATGTGCTCAATATTTTATTGTTTGTTTGTTTGTTGCTTCTGCTGTTTCATGGACTCCGTCCCCCGGGCACAAAAAATCCCCCAAAAGAGCCCAGAGAGTTGATTATGCGGGCGGTCGCTCTCCACAAACTTTTCCGCAATCTGCAATTTTTAAACGGTTTCCTTTGCCGAGCGTGGTTACAGATACAATAAATTGCTGGGATCAAGAGTTAACTTTGGGAGTTGTGTACTGAAATGTTGCGGGAATTGAAGATTAGCATTGTCAATCTCATTGGAGGTGTTTCAGCAAAGATTAGGAAGTTTCCTTTAAAGGATTTCGCAAATTTATCCAATCATTTATTTCTATTCGAATAATTTCTCCAATTATTTTAGTACGGATTTCTCTTGCATAATTTTGTTTATAGGCAATGTTCGTCTTGCACAAGCGAAAGCTGCAAAAGAGAAGCACGAGAATTGCAGACTCAAGTTTCGATAAGGGTTTTATTGTTTTTGTTAGAATACTCCCAAGTTCAAAAAGCCTCCATACCGCTCTTAGACACAAAACGCACAACATAGATTCCTTTTAGTATATCCTGCAACCAAACTTGCGTCTGAATCGGCCCTTCCTACACGATTATCTGTCTGGAAACAACTACGATACACTTCTCAACCAACCAACTCCCACCACAACAATCAACCGCATTTCAGATACCAAAGCTAACAGAAATTTGATCGAAAAACCTTGCCTTTCACTTGACCATTTGGCCATTTAGCTGGTCTTGCACTTTTGTTTGAACACCTTTTTTGGACACTTGGCCCGCTGTCGATGCATGTGGGGATGTAGCTCAGATGGTAGAGCGCTCGCTTAGCATGTGAGAGGTACGGGGATCGATGCCCCGCATCTCCAATAGGATTTCCTTATTTTGTTCGCTTCTTTTTTGGCTTGTGGGAGACAAATACGCAGACGTCGGCAGTTTTGTCTTCGGCACTCCGGAGGGCGGCTTATGTCGAGGAAGAAGTTGCCACTAATGAATATTCAAAGGTTTGCCTTTGTAGCTGCCAGTGAGAATTATCCCCGATTCATACTGAGGAGGACATCCCTTAGAAGCCGCCGCCCCCATGTCGACAATCAAGACGCGTAATTTGATTTGCGCCCTTAACGCTGGAGTCGGAGATGGCAGATGTTGGTGGGGGGATGGTGGCAGAGAGAACACATTGTCGCACATAAATCAGCACAATATGCCAATGTTTGTGTTTATTCGCCTGCATTCGCCGTACGCAGAGAACTTTGCCAGCAATTAACCAGACAGCCACAACCAGCAGTCACGGGAGCAGTCAGGACCAGGAAACGCGGTCCCAGGACAACAGTCAGGACGCCCCAGGGCGACTCCATGCTCCGTGTTCCATGCACTGCTTGAATTTGGAGTTGTAAATGATACATGATGTGCTATTTATGAGCAAAAGGCTTTTGTTTCAATTTTTTGCCTTTGTTTTGTTATCCGTTTCTGGCAGGACAAAGTTTTTTGGCCCTCCCTCCCGTGACAACATGACGCGACTAAGCTAGTTAAGTTGTTCCTGTCGTTGCGAGAATTTATGTATTTATTTGTAGATTTTTAATTGTTTTAAGTGTTTTGTTTCGCAGAGTTTCGGTTTGCATGTTTTTCAAACAAAAAAAATAACTCTATTGGAGATGCGGGGCATCGATCCCCGTACCTCTCACATGCTAAGCGAGCGCTCTACCATCTGAGCTACATCCCCGTGTTGGAACTCTGCACCACAGGCACCAATAAATTGTGTGTTTCTTGGTCGGACAATTACCTCTTGTTACCTTCAATTGGTATGCAAGAGGTGCGACAAAAAGTGACCTGGTAAACGCTTTATAGCACGAGCAGCAGAGGCATGATCTGAACTGGTTTGCGGCTTAGCTTGGGCTGTACAGTTGTTGGGGTGTGGCATTTGAAAGACATGACCATGCGTCAGATAAAGAGCTCTGGGGCACAGAGCAAAAGAAGGTTGAATTGACTCAAATTAAACTATAATACACCTCTTGAAACAATTGGATGAATTGAGTCGTTTCGCAACGGAATTCCAAACCATTCTGATTATAAAATATAATTTTTCACAAAGGCTGAAGGTGTATATTTCGGAAAGAAATTAAGAAACCAGCACTCTCCCATTTCGGTTTTCATATATTTATTTATATTGGTGTTTGCTTAAATATATTTCTGATATTTTTGATGCTGTGAAAAATAAACAACCGCAAGAGCATCCATCGTTGCACATCATTTAAGAGGCACACACCACATTAAAATATATCAAAATATTCTTTAAATAAACGAGAAAACAAATATTCACCAGCAAGTCAAACACCAATTCCACTTGGAACAGGCGCAGCAGCAGGAATAATAAAAATCAGTATTTTTGCAAGCGTCTTGGGGCATTTGAGTTAAAATTAATATGCATAACGCATAGCGGAAAGGAAAAAATAAACTTTTCCAAAATTTATGCAGTGATGAGTGAAAAGGGATGCCACTTGGCACAGCAAGAACAACAACAATAACACGTGCCTGTGCCTGTGCCCGTTATCGGAACCGGAAACGGGTCCACACAGAACGAAAGGAACGAAAGTCACGGTGGCGTATGTGACAAGTCCTTTCTAATGAGCAGGAAGAAGACGAGCACCTATTGCTCAAATCAAGCCCAAAAGTCCCCCCCGCCTTCAACTAATAAACTTCCTCCAGGCCAAAGTCAATTAAAAAAGGAACAAAAAATGGTACGTGACGCCTTAAGATAGACGAAGTACATACAAAAAAAAAAAAAAAAAATAGAAGAGAGGATGGACCAGAAATGAAGACTGGGAAATACTTTCAGAAGGTAGCAACTAAAAAGTCACAGACTTTCTTGAAATTAAAATTACAAGACGCTTGAATAACTTTGACTGTGGGACTGTGACGTCCCACCTTTCCACCCATTTTCATTCACGCTGTCAGGTGAATGCTGACAAAAGTTTTTGAGGTAACATTTCTTTTACGATTCGCCAGAGAGAGTGCGGTGGAACAAACAACGGGAAGAAGTGCCACTTGCTACGTTTTTGTCATTAATTTTGTATATCATTGAGTTTTACGAGCCTCATAAATATGAAAACGTTTAACTCTTTGCTGAAGGAAAGAACAAGATTCTGGGAAGGAGGGAATCTTCAAAAATCCTCCAGCGGCTCCCCTGGCTACGTTTTATATGAGACAAACTAATTGTCTTGTACTTGTAATGTGTTTTTAAGCACAGCCACGCTTCCCACATGTTTTCACAGCGTTTCACAGATAAACAACAACACGAACAATGCGGGAGCGAACAAGGATCTGGAATTGTTGGTACGAGTTGTAACAATTAGTGGGTTGGTTGGTTGAGGGGTTCGTTCGTTCGCATCCTTTCTGTGCAACAGCTTGAGGTAATTTTAAACTTTTACTCCCTGTCTTGGCGTTGACAAGAAGCGTGTTGTTTTGTTTGGTTTTAATTAAAGCCCAAAACATATCAAGTCAAATACATTTGGGAGAGATTGCGATGCTTACACTCACAGACAACAGCTCTGGCAATGGAGAAGTATTTGTGCCAATGGAGGCTTCCTTTAAGAAATGTGGAATAAAGAACTTTATTTTCTTGAAACAATCAGCTGAAATGTGGAATACTCAAGTTAAGGGAATACTCGAATTGTTTATTGTTGTCCATTCCCAATTAGGGTCAGAGAAAGGGTTACACAAATTCGTAGTCCATCGAATAATTGAGGCACATTTGGTAGTTTATTATCCCATTTTGGAATCAAACCAATGGTATACGGATACGATGAGTTTAGATTTGAAAAGAAAATTATAATTCTTAGCTATAGCTATGGCTATAGCCATATTAGGTAATAAATTAAACTCTCAATTAATTAATTGTTGAATGGCTAGACAGAGAATAATTTATGTTGATCATCTACAGGGCTCTCTGAATTGTAAGGAACTTTTAGAACATCCTCGTCCATCTGCCACGAAGACTATCGCCATATAAATTCTTGCTGCCTCACAAGATTTTAACTTTCTTGCTGTTACATTTTTAATTAGTTCAAGTTACAAATGACATTAACAACCAAAATGAAGGCAATGGCAAAGATTTGTGGTCGTATATTTTAGCATTTCTTAACGAGATTTTTTTTTTTCCAGAGCAGAAAAAACAAAAGGTGAAAAATTCCCAACGCCAAAGGAACTTGCACCTTTGCATACACAAGCAGTCCAACCCCTCCCTCCTCCCCTCTAAAGGTGTTGAATAACTGTGGGTGGGATGGGGAAGGCCAGGCTGTCAGGGGTCAGGGGGTTTCGTGGTTATAAATTTTAAATCTGTTAAATTAATGCAAAAGCGAAGCCTTCTTTCTTTTTGCTCGCATTCGTTCTACCGTGCCTGGAAAGTTGAGAGAGGAGAACTTGGAGCACGTTGCCTGATTACATTAATTATTCCTTTATTGTTTGCAAAAGTTTGCGCGCACCTTTTGGTTCTCGTTCTGGTTCTGTGTGTGGTGTGTGCTCTACGCGGTTATTTTTGTTCGAATGCATCTAATTGTAATTAATTACAGAGAACTGAGACCAACTATTTCTCACTGATATAATGTTTATTTCCTTCTATTTACTTGCAGTGACTCGTCCTTCAACAATTGGGTAAGTAGAAGTGCAACCATTGAGGCGCCCCTGGGTTCTAATTGTCTGCCACTTTTTTATTTTGTAGTCACCGGTTGGCTATCCACCAAACTATAGGCGTCCACCAAACTATCACAGGCGCAACGATTATTCAGATCGATATAATTATGGGGGTGAGAGATATGTGAGGTATGAACACAGAACAAGTGAAGACCGTAACCATAGAGGCTACAGCCCGAAAAGAAGTAGAAAGAACGATCAAAATTACGAATCAAAAGAACTGAAAGGAACTGAAATCAATGGTGAATCAAAACAAGCTTCTAAAGCTGATTTTTGCCCTGTGGAAACTCACAAAAATAGCAACGAACCACCAGAAAATAAAGAAAGTCCATCAGATCAAGAAAAAATAACACCGGGAGTCAATTCTAGTCAAATAAAATTCTTCACTCCCAACGAAAGTAAAAAGAGCGATACAAATTGCAAATCAAAGGTCACGGACATCAATTGTAAATCAAAAAGAGCTTCCAAAGCGAATCTTTGTCCTCTGGAAACGGCAACAAATTTGAAAGAGCAGACAGAAAATAAAGAAATTCCATTTAATAGCCAGTTAGATCAAGAACAAATAGCAACAGAAGGTCATGCTAGTCAAATCGAAGTCCCCAAGTCCGTTGCCACCAATTCCTACAATTCCACATTCAGCTTCTTAAGCGCCTTCCACGAGCTCGCGGCCCCGCCAGCTGCAGAGCCTGAGTCTAGTCAGAACATATCCCAAGATCAAAGTACGTCCCTTGGCGGAGCTGCTTAAGCAGGAGATCCTAGCCGTCACCCAGGAGAACCGCCTGCGTAGAACTGGCGCACCGGATAGGTCCGGCCAACGTTTGTTGCACAGACCTGCACCCAAAAATCGCCGACTTACTGTGTGTGGCTTTGGTGATGCGCCAGCCAGTCCCACCTCCATCAATAGTCACCTCGCGAACCTGGACAAGGAGAGTCTCAAGTTTATAATCAACAACAGTGACACGATATACGACGAGCCGCTCAAGTACCAGGCCCGCAAACGACTGCGCGAGGAAATTCGTCGCCAGCTCAAGGAGTTTCAATTGGAAAAACCCAAGGATAGCCCGGCCACCGAACTGATTGAAGACGAGATCGTTGATGCCATCAAATTGCCAACGTGCCTGCTGCAAGAGATTGAAAAGTGCTTTGGCATACACATATCAGAGTCAGAGAAGCAGGAAATAAAGTCAGAGCCCATAAAAATCAAAACAGATCCTGGCATTAAAAGCGGGGAGTGCATCAAAAGTAGTTCAGAATCAGAAGACAACTCTAGTCCTCAGTGCAGTAAAAAGAGTCCAAGGAAAGAACAAAATTCCAGTCCTCAAGGGCAGTGCAGCAAAAGGAAGGACAGCCCAGCAGCAGAGACAATGGCTGGTGCCAGGGATCTGATGACACGGCTCAAAGCCGCCGACGAGGTCAAGACAATGACAGCAGTGCGTCAATATAATGGCCGTCCCAATGGCAGCTTCCCGCCTCGTGGTCCCTTGCTGCCATTCCCAAAACAAGACAAAAAGTTGAGCAATAGCGCAAGAGCGGAGCGTAAAACAAGCGAATCCTCGCCCAAGAAAGCCAAACCAAAGGAACAAGCGAAATTGAGCAATCCAAAGGCTGCAAGTCCAGCCAAGGTGGCCACCCCAGAACCCCCACTAGCGATCAAACAGGAGATCAAAGACTGCGAAATAGTTCTACCAGCGTTTAATACCACAATAGTTGTCAGCTCCTCCTCGGATGAAGATGAGGCTGACGAGGATGCGACCCAGAAGCAGACACAGCCGCAGCCGCAGCGGCAGGCGGTGGCCAAGCCAGGAACCAACGATGATGAAGCCAGCGATCACTCCACCAGTTCTCAAGGCAGCACCGAGTCCTCCAAGCGACGCTACAGGCAGAAGCTAAAGAGCGACGCCGACAATGTGGTGGACAGTTTCGAGAAGTTGATCCTGCCGCATCTCAAGGAATCGCTGGCCGCGAATTACAGAAGCCAGCACAGCGGCAGTCAACACAGTCGTCTGCACTTTATATCCTGCGTGGTGACATCCAGCGAGCACAATTCGCAAAACGTCAGCAAAATGGAAATTGCCAAAGTGCAAAAGAATCTCAAGTTGAACAACAATCGGCTGGGCATTGAGTTCCTGCTGCGGCACATTGTCCATGTGGTTAATCAACAGAAGCAGCAGGCGGCGGCGCAGCGGCGCAAGGAACAGGAGGTGCAGAAGCTGAGTAATGGGATTAGCACGGCGACGAGTGCCGCCACAGAGAATGCTGAATCCGCAAAAGAGACACCGACGCCGCCGCCGTCACATCAAAAAATCGTGGAGGAAACTGCACCTGTCACTTTGCCACCCCCCAATGAAAGTCCTCGTCAGAGTTCTCCCGCGCTGTCTGCTTATCAGAGTTCTCCCTCGCTGTCTGCTTATCAGAACTCTCCCGCGTTGTCTACTCATCAGAGTCCATCAGCGCGTCAGAGTCCACCAGCAATGCCACCGCGTCAGAGTCCACCTGCGTTGCCACCGCGTCAGAGTCCGCAAGCGTTGCCACCGCGTCAGAGTCCACCAGCATTGCCACCACGTGCGATTAACCCACCGTTTGGTGTTTTTCCACCGGGAATACCATTTCTGGATTCCACACTGTCTCGACATTCTCCAGGCGGCTATTCCCTGTCGGAGCCCAGTGAACCAATGGGACTTTTGGTTGACATGGTGGCCCAAAATCTGGTCGACATCGATCGCCGTCTCTTGGAGAACCAGAACCGACGCAGCTTCCTCGACGAAATGATCATGAAATTCCAAAAGGAGAAATCCGATTTGGAAATGCACAGCCTGGAGCTGCAAAGCCGCAAATTTCTGCTAATCAATTCGGCGATCAGCCGGAAGCATGGGCCGACCACTGCATCAGCTGTGATGATGGCCACTCTGCCACCACCGGCCTCGCCGCCTCCGACAGCAGAGGGCCAGGAAGCCGCTGCAGGGGAGACTTCTAGCCAAAACAAAGCCCCGAACCAAACACGAGCCAAGCCAAAGGGCCGCGTACGTCGGGCTGTGGTGGTCAAGTATTTGCCCAAACGTAGGGTCAGATTCAATCGTCGGGCAGCCAAGAGAGATGATAATTCCGATGAGTTGGTGGCACAGCTGAAGCTGGAGATGGCAGCCAAGGAGCAGACAGAAAAGTCAAAAGAGAACGCACCGGAAATGCCCATGCCTATGATGGAGGAGGCGGCGATCAAAGAAGAGCCCATTGACGTTTGCAATATAATGGAGGTGCAGGTGCAGCGTCCGATCATCACCGAAAACGGTGCCAGCAACAACAAACGCTCGGCGGAACCCACTCCGGCGGCCCATTCCACCAAGCCCAAGCAGTCGCGCAACAGCAAACCAATCACCAGTACAGTATCGGGATCTAATCCTAACCAGCAGCCGCTGGCTATTATACCACCGCTACCACCACCGCCGCCGCCGCCAGAACCGATCTACAACATGCCATACCAGCTGCCGCGAAGCATTCTCAAGGCCCCACCGCCACCACCCACGCCCCCGCCTCTGCGACAGCTGTCGGTGCAGTCTAACGGGACCATGGAATCGGACTTGGGCTTCGTACGCAAAGGCCGCCTGCACTCGGTCGTCAGTCCGATCACCCAGATACGCATCTTTAAGAATTACATATTAGCCGCGGCCGAGGATGGGGACATCTACATCTTCAACCTGCACAATCACAAGCTCGAGCGTCAGATACCCAAGCACGGCGAGGCCATCACGAACATGCATCTGTGCGAGAAGGAGTCATTTCTGTATACCACATCGTTGGACGGCTTCCTCAAGAAATCCTCATTGGAGGTAGGTGCTCATCGCTCTATGCCTGCTATGAGAAACTTTATCAAATCTTCTGTTTAATCTTCTGCAGAATCTTGAGAGTGTGCAGCAAACGGTGTACGTCAAGGAGCCATTGCAATCGATTGATATTGCTTGGGATGCGGCATTTATTGGCAGTCGCTGGGGTCACATCTTTGTCTACAATGTGGTGGTAAGTGCAAGTAAAGCCTAATAAATAATAAAATATAAAATAAGGGAATTCGTTCTGGGAATTAAATAGTAATAGAAACGATTTTTAAGAGATTTTTATATTGTAGAATATTAATTTCCATTTCAATGATAGCTAAAGCTACCCCCCACTTGACCAATAATTCATTGAAACAGTCCTGCCCTGCATGTGGAGAAGGTCAATCAATCTTCCCTCAGTATAGTATATTCTCCATTTAATTAATGTTGGGTTCATTAAATATTTATCTGTCAAACAAACACTCGAAAAATTTCAATTAAAATATTGAACAGCGACAGCAGGCAAATCCTGCCAACAACAACAAAAAGGACAACCAGCATCTCCACACTCTTGGGGAAGCGCGTCCACACCTTGCCCAAAGACCGACCAAGCAGCAGCAGCAGTAGCAGCAGAGCAGTAGCAACAAAAGTTAACGAATTGGCAATGAGCCTTTAGCGAACGAGCGAACGTCTAGACAATGGAAATCAAATCGAATTTATTTTTTTTTTTTCTCGCGTTGGCTCACGCGAATTTAACAAATTGGATAGTATGGAGTGAAAAGCGTAGAAAGGGAGTTGAGATACTTCATTAGAATATTTCATGCTAAGGGTAGAGAGAAAGCTATAAGTCTTAATTCTGGCAGAAATTCGATTTATGGCTGCGACGTGCTGATAACTCATGCCCGTAGCCCGAAATTATGCTACGATTTTTTCTTCCATTTTATGCACAACTGTACTTTGGATATCTACGAGTAGAAGAAGGCAACTGTACTTCAACTAAGGGGTGGATAGGAGGAGGAAAGTGTAATTTTAACTGAAAGTAGTGAAGTAGTAGGCAAAGGTGCTTATAACGAAGGAGGATGTAGGAAGCAGTGGTACTTGTAACTATAGGGAAGAATGAGGCGCAACTGTACTTTTAACTAGAACGTTGAAGGAGGCAACTGTACTTATAACAATGCTGCAGGAGAAGGAGGCAACTGTAGTTATCAGAATAGTGCAGGAGAAGGAGGCAACTGTAATTGTAAATAAGAAGGAAACGAAGGAGGCAACTGAACTCAAGCTTTGCTTTGCTGTAGATGGTAGGCCATCCGTACATTCTAGGTGCAGTATAGACTCGTTAGTTATTTGGTAAATATACGAAGATGCCACGCCCCACATAGTGCCATACGGCGGAACATACTAGAGGGCGTTGCTGTTGCTGGGATTGCAGTTTTTCGGCCAGCCTCTTGCTGCTATTGCTTGATATTTAGCTTTGACTTGTGTTTTGTGTTTTATTGTGTCAGTGTTTGCTGCACGTTGTTTGGCCGAGACGTCAGCTGTACTGTTCGTAGCGTAGCACATAGTTGGCTATGTACCAGTGCAGGGCTGGGGGTTAGTGTTGCAACAAACAACAGCAAAGTGCAGCCACATGCAGTGGCAGCAGCAACTGTTTCTCTCACTCACTCCCAGCTATGCTACCACTATATCACTCGCTCTCTCTACTTTCTTTCTACTGCTATCCTCTCTCGCTCTTTCTCTCTCCCTCTATTGTTGTTTATTTAAGTTTTTATGTGTGCCTGTTTAGTTAACGGTATATTTTGCCGGCACGGCACTCATACTCTCCCAAAATGCAGCAAGCTCTCTCTCACTCTCACGCTCACTGGCTCTGCTCGCTCTCCTTCTGGCACTGGCACACGAAGAGTCTCTTTGGCCGTTCTTCGGCTGCCAGTCGCTACGTACTACGTACCCCTTCTCCCAATGCGCATGACTTGCCCTGCTCTGCGCTGCGCTGCGCTGCAGTTTACCGTTAGCTGCATATAGCACAACAGTCGCCTGCTCATGCTTTTCCCATTCGTTAGTTTTTGGCAGCAGCAAATAAAATGTTTATATGCTATTTACACAAAACAATTTTAAATAAAATACAAGAAACCCGAATAGAGACTCCCCCGACTGTTGCTGTTGCTCTCGCACTCGCACTCGCATTCGCACTCGCTCTCCCTTGCTCTCAGTAGGAGCTTTCTCGCTCTCGACTGCGCTCTCGCTCTCGTCGCTGCAGCCTTCCAAGGCGTTGCAATGGGAAATTGTCTTCGTGTCGTTCCTGTTGCTGTTGGTGTGCCTGTGCCTGTGTCTGTGTCTGTGTGTGGATGTTGTTGTTGTGGCGTGGGCTTTTCTTGCTGGTTTGGTTGGTTCCTTCCCCTGTTTTGTTGTGTTGTGTGTTTTCTGGAATATGACGCTTGTCTATGGGTTCACTGTCTGTGTGTATGTGCCGCTCTCCCATTGGTTGTGCTCGGCCAAATCGGGTTGGTTGGTTGGTTGGTTGGTTGTGGCCCGTTATGTGCACTGCAGCCGAGGGGCAACTCTTTTTCGTTTTGAAGTGCCAGTGCCAGTGCGAGTGTTTTGGTATTTTCTATTGTTGTTCGTTGTATGGCAAATTGCAATGCATGCATGTGCACATGCATATAAGTTGGGTGGGTGTGGCAAGGACACGGTCTGCGTGGCAGCCCTTGCAACCACTAAATAAACAACATGCTGCTGCTGCTGCTGCTGCCACTCCCACTGCAAGCATTTTATTGGTGTTTTTTTTTTTTTGCTAAAGATTCCAAGACATAACTGTCTGTACATAAAAGTGCACTATCTGCCTCTCGCTCTTTGTCTTCTACCCTTGCTCGTGCTTTCTACTTTTATTTTATAGCTGCTTGGGGCAGCCATTTATCAATGTTTGACACACCGCCTGTTGTTTGGTTAACGGTTTCCATTGCAGTTTCTGTCGACATGCAAGTTTTTCCATTTTCTAGAATTTTCTGCTGTGGTCTTGGGTTTTTAGTAAATATTATCGCATGCTATAATACTGTGATATTTCAGGGCATCAAATATTGTAAAGGGTAATAATGTTAATAAGAAATTTACAGACTTTTTTGCAGGTACAATTTATATAATTATAAATATTTATTCGCTCGGGAACATTGAAATAATTTCTTTAAAAATGTCTGGCATATGTCTGAGGAATAGAAATCAAACAATTTTCTCCAGCTCAGTGGCATAGGATAGATTCTGTGTAGCTATATCGTTGGACGGAATCTCATCCTTGGGCTTGGTGTTCAGTGAGGCATAGTCGTAGTTCCCCTCAGTGTCCAGGGTCCAGTGGCGGCGCTTGACCAACTCCAGTAGCTCCTTTCCGCCAGCACGGAGGCCCAGACGCTGTGCCGCCTGCTTGGGGGACATCTTCAGGTAGGCCTTCTCGATGCAGGAGGCGATCTCCTCGCGGGCCGTCTGCACCAGCATGTCCATGAAGTTGCCATAGATCTCCGAGGGCATGGACTTCTTGGCCTGCAGTATTTTGTTGTAGCGTCCCTCCATAAAGTAGTTCTCGAGGGCCAGCACGGGCATGATGAAGCTGTCCTGCAGCAGCAGGGCCGACGGCAGTCGCTCCAGTGCAATGTGGAAGTCGGCAATGCGATTGGTGGCCAGCATATAGAGCAGGCTCAGACCAATCATCTTGTGCATCTCCTTCGAGGGCTCCAGGAACTTGTCGTAGTCGTAGTAGTACATGCTCAGCTGAGCCATGTACCGCTCAAAGGCGGCGTAGTCCTTGGTGGTGATGCTGTGCTCCACTGCAATCTCCAGCACATCGCGTGACTTCACCAGCTGGTCCTTCTGCTGGGGGTTTGAGTTGAAGGCCTCTCGGGGCATCAGGAATCCGCCTTTGAGAATCTCCAGCTTGAATAGGCCCAAAAGTTCGCCACAGCGCAGCAGATTTGGGGCTCGTTTGCTCCATTCCGACTTCAAGTCTTTGTACAGATTGGACATGATATGTAGATCTTCTTTCTGTGCAATTTTTCACAATTCTTTAATTAGGACAGTGCAAATATGAAAAAACAGACCTGACCTTGGGGGCACCGTTTTTCGGAACGAGTAATTTTTGGATGATTCAAATTTTGCTGATAGGGAACTGACTGATTTTATAGATTTAAAAGAGTCCAAAGAGCGTGTTTGGGTGGCCTACTTTGACAATTTGTTTTTTATAATTTAGAATATGCTATCCCATAGTCGGAGTCGCTATGTATTTCGTTGTGGTATCAGAAGGATATAACAAGACCATTACCAAAGCAAATACCACCAATAACAGAAAATAAATGCATTCAGAAACCGAAATCAAACAAAACCAGACAATTTGCCTTAATCTAAAGTAATTAAAATATTTGTATACCATTTAGATAAGAAGGCCATATCTAATCTTCAAATATTGTGGTACCCCTAAGTATATCTACATATGTATGTATATGTATACATTTTATAAATAGTTTATAACAACGAAAAATATGTGTATGTAGTGTAGTATTTATTTATAAAAATAAATAAAATGCGCACTGGGTGTTTTGCTTTCTGTTGACCATTTCGTTATGTGTTCGGATCGTATGCGTGTTTGTCATGACAATGCACTTTGGGAATATCAATGAATCCGACTGGCAGTAGGCCCAAAATCAAAGCACGGAAACCCTTTTAAGGGCCAATAAATTGGCTTTATCCACAACGGGGATGTAGCTCAGATGGTAGAGCGCTCGCTTAGCATGTGAGAGGTACGGGGATCGATGCCCCGCATCTCCAAAGGATTTCAAATCAACTTTTTATACTTTTTTATAATTTGTAAATGTTCTCGTTGAATTGCAGACAAACAAAATGATCGAGTCGCCACTGCTCTCCACGGGCCAGTCCATTATTGCTGTCAAGGCCACCATGGAGGGCCTGAGGAAGATCATCATACTTGGCTGCAAGGGAAACTTTGTGTATTTGCACGATGCGGCCACAGGTCTGTTGCTGCGCCGCCTGGGCGTGCCCGACGGACTGAACGTCTATAGTTTGCTTCTCAATGACGGACATATCTACTGCGGCACGCAGAAGAACGAGATCTACAAGTTTGAGTTCACAGTAAGAATAATCCTCTGCTCTCCTCTCCTCTCCTCACGAAAACCAAACATAAATGTGCCATTTTGTGTGTAACTTTTAGAGTGGAAATCTGGTCACCAAGCTGAGCTGCGGGAACGGTGCCGTCTCCATGGTGAGCTTCAGGGACAGATATTTACTGATTGGCTGCTATGATGGCTTCATTTACGTCCTGGACAAGCATAAGGGCACCCAGGTGGGTCGATTCGAGGGCGCTGGACGCTTGGTACTGGCGCTGGCCATAGCCGGTGATAGTGTAAGTCTTCAAACTTTGATTCACATATTTGGAATTTCGCATTTTATATTAATTTCTGCATTACATTTACAGATCGTTACATCCTCGAAGGATAACTCCTTGGAGGTGCTCGAAATTCCACCCGGAATGCTAAATGTTGGACAACAATGAGATTACACATAAATATATATATAGAATAGATGATAGATCAGATTTAATTTAACAATTTTACAAACACACTCGCACGCGCACTTGTTTGTATATAACTTTACAATCATACTGATGTTTTAATTTTTTCATTTTGTTTTGTTTTTTTTTTATATTTACAATTGGGCATGTTTTTGTGTTTAAATATGATTTCCTTGAAGAAATAACCAATTTCTACGCCATGAACCGAGTAAAAGAATAAAGGGAAGAGCGCCAATAAAACGAATATGAATAATATGTACGTAATAATGTATGTAGTGGTATAAATGGTCCTTTGTTAGCCGTTGAATTAAGGAATCTGTGGCGTGCGCACTGGCCGCACATTCGTCTGCATTTGGTGCAGCTTCAGGTTGAGCTTGTGCGAATGATCCCGCAGATAGGCAATGAGATCCGCTTGCTTCTCCAGCAGTTCGGCTGTGTCGCCGCCGGGCTGCATCAGGCCCAAGGAGCCGCCAACTTGATCGGTGCCGCGCAGGACATCTGGCGCCAGATTGGCCTTGTTGAATTTTCGCACCTTGTCTGCAAGATATCAGTTAACAAAAGAAGAAAGAACAATTGACAGTGACTAACCAATATAGCAGCCATTGGAGATGGACAGCACCACATTCTCGGCCACAGTGAACGCTGTCACATAGCTGACGGGCGACAGCCAGCCGGCGGCACAGTGCTCCCAGAAGCTGTCTCCATAATAATGATGGATCATAGCCTGGACAGCCAGCAGCGCGGAGTTCCAGAGGGACACCACCTGCAGCGGTATGCCCTTTTGCATGTTCGTCTCGCGATGAAAATCGTGGTAGCCGCTCAGTCGCAGATTATCGTGTTGCACTTTTATGAAGTGATCGAAGAGCTGAAAAATGGCAATGTGGCATTGAGGCAGGTCGTAGCCAGACGCTTGATCAAGTCCTTACATATGTGATGACCCAGAAGGTGGCGCGCAAGTAGAGCATTATAAAGTAGGCGTCGCATCGTCGTTCCGCTGGCCAGAGAGCCGCCAGGCCAATGCCCACACACGAAATCACAGACGAGATAAGCAAGTGTATGCTGTGGAGTAGATTCGCATTGGTGTGCGTTAATTGCGTTGCAGTCATCCATAGCATTAAATTTCAACCCTTCCGCGAGTGCGAAGTGATTCATTGTCGCCGGCAGCGGGCCCCTTGCCCCACTCCGACTCCCATTAATCCTCACCTAAATGCGGGCACCGTTTTCAGCTTGAAGGTTCCATTGTTATTCGAAAAGAGCACGGGATCCAACAGTTGGTCCGTGTCGTGGATGTGTGGGGGTATAACGCCTGCCGGGACGGCGGCGCCTGTTGCTTCGTGGTCCATTTTGGGCTTCTAATTTGCCTTAAATGCGCAGCGAAAGTATGCGTAATTTTCGAAATGTTTTTATTTCGCTTTGTTTGTTTGTTGTCGGCTTGTGTGGCGCTGCCAGTCTGCGAAAATAGTCGATTAGTTTAGCTATCGAATAGTGCGAGAGATGCCACTTGGTTGGGTTTGACGCGTTTCACAGCACTTTGCTATCAACTGCCAAATTTTTATATAAAAATGCACTCCAAAATAAGTAGTAGTAAACTCAAATCTAAAAATATTTAAAGTTAATATTGTGTGTTTCAAAAGAGAGTTGCATCTCACCCACTGCACAGGAAATTCGTTTGATTTTGTCGCTGCCACCACGATCGATAACGATAACAGCAGCACAAAAATCATCTCTAATTTTATGGCTTTTTGTTTAAATTTGATTTTTAATACAAAAAATAAATGTCTACACCTGTGCCGCGCCGCACTAAGGACTTGCTGGCTCTTGGTATTGACTCGGATACGGACGATGACTACAATTCGCCTCTCAAGCCGCACCGATCACAAGCCGCAGCTGCAAAAAACCACCGACCAGCTGCGGCGGCGGCATCTGCTTTCGGTCAGGGCACAGGCATCGGCGTCAATGCTGGCAATAAGGAAAACATTTCGCTGCCCAATAGGGCAGTCGGTGAAATACTGTAAGTTCCATTCTCCCAGCAGAGATGTCGCCACTTGATTTGGATTATGTTTTAGACCACGGCGCACCTCGGAGATGTCTATGATGGACTCGGACAGCGACGAGGAGGAGGATAACAAAAACGACCACAATCTCAACTGCGCCATTCTCAATGACTCCTTCGTGTTGAGTCCGACGCACGAGCTGCCGGTTAGCGGGGGCAGCAGCATGCCCTCCACAGCTGGCACACTCAAGCAATCCGATTCGAATCTGTCGTTCCTAGGCCGCTTCGGCAACATGGGCATCAACTGCAGCAGCACCTCTGCTGCCAATCAGAACTCCCCGGCGGTTGAGCCAGAGCCGCAGGCCATCAAAAAGCCGCCGCCTTCAACGCTGCAAACCATCTCGGAGCGACGTAAACTCTTTGATAACGAAACTCCCCTGCGTAATGGATCCACGATTGTGGCCAAGTCCCAAGCCAAGGCCGAAGTGGACTTCATAACGCCACTGGTGCGAGCGGGCGGCTCCACGCAGGCACCCAAATCCCGCAGCGCGGTGGTATCGAATGAGTTTCGCGCGCAGAAGGTTCTCTTCCAGACGCCCATGACCGTGGGCCGTGGTGCTCCCTTTTCCTGCGACAGCTTCTCCCTGTGCGACACCATCAGCGAGAGTCCCGACATTCCGCCGCGACAGCCGGAGCCGCAGCCGCAGCCCAAGGTAGAGCCCATCAATGGCAAGTCAAAGAAGTCTCTGGACAATGCATTCCATGAGGCAGAAAAGGAAATGGTGCCACCGAAAATTGAGCCAGTGAAACCCAAGGAAATTGTAAAACCTGCTCCAGTGCCGCCCTCCACCGCCAGCAAATCTTCGAACATACTAAAGATCAAGAATCATGAGTACGTGATAGGCCAGAAGCTTGGCTGCGGCGGCTCCAGTTCCGTTTACCTCGCCCGTCGTCCCGACTCTGGCGGTGAATTTGCATTGAAGGTGGTGGACCTGCAGGCCGATCCGTCGGTGGTTCAGGGGTATCTGAATGAAACCAAGCTGCTGGAGAAGCTGCAGGGCAACGTGTGCGTTGTGGCACTGTACGACTAGTGAGTTACTCGATCTGCAAGAGACTTTCAGGTAATAAATACATTCCGCTTTTCCACAGTCAACTGTTGCGAGAGGAGTCCAAGCTGTATATGGTAATGGAGAAGGGTGACTGCGACTTGAACAAGATCCTGCAGAGCTATACCACAAATCTGCCGGCCTACAGCCTGATGAGCATTCTGTACCAGATGCTGCAGGCTGTCAACTATATTCACCAGCACGGTGTAATACACTCGGACCTGAAGCCGGCCAATTTCCTGATGGTGAATGGCCGTCTCAAGCTGATCGACTTTGGCATTGCCAGCAACATTTCGGTGGACTCGACGAGCATCATCAAGTTCTCCCAGGCTGGCACCTTCAACTACATCAGCCCCGAGGCCCTCACGGACACCTCGACGGGCAACAGTCCGATGCGCGGTGGCAATCAGCCCAAGATAAAGATCTCCACCAAGTCGGATGTGTGGTCGCTGGGCTGCATATTGTATCTGCTGATGTACCAAAAGACGCCCTTTGGTCATATACGGAATATTTGTGCCAAGATGAATGCCATTGCCAATCCGGGGACCAACATTGAGTATCCAGACATTCCATTTTACTATCCAGCCATGCTGGTTCATGTGAGTTACCCAAGAGTGCGACACGACATGCGAATATACTCAAATATATTCAAATGTATTCTTTATAGATGGTCAAAAAGTGCCTGCAGCTGAATCCGAAAATGCGGCCCTCGTGCACCCAACTGCTGCAGTATCCCTTCCATATGGCCATTCCCCTGCAGAATCTACAGATTGCCAGCAAAGCCAGCACCACCACCACCACCACCAACAATAAGTAAACCCAACAAAAGTATTCTCCTCTTATGTTTTCTCATATGTGTGTATGTATTTAATTCTCATTTACCATAAGTTATACATCATAAATCTTTATAATGCAGGCTATAGCTCATTCGTTTTCTTGTGGGAAGGGGGGGCGGGTGCCATTTTTTCTGTGTGTGTTCCTTCTACTCCTCCCTAAATACTTTTTTTTTTCTTTTTGCATGCAACAAGTTTACTGTTTTGACAATTTTTGTTTTTATCGCTAATTGGCGCTAGCATTTACCATTTTGTGTTTAATTTGCGTTTTACTTATGAATTAGGGTTCTCTCATTTGTGTGTGTGTGTTTTGTTTATATAAAAATAGTTTACTTGGTTTTTTTCATATACGCTTAATTAAATGTTTGTTGTTTGCTGTTTTTGCTGTGGGGTGGACCGACCACATGCTGCTGCGGGTTTTGAATACTATTTTTTTTGCTTCACAATTAAATTAAATTCAAAAAAGAACATGGAAAACATGGAAAAAAAAACACAAACAATTTGTCGTTACACATGACATGCATACATAAATAGATATACATACACATACATAAATTTAGTGTTTAATTATAAGTATATAATTGGTTTATTTTTTTTTGTATATAGAATTGCCTTTTAAGTAGTTTTTTTTCTCGTGTAAATTCATTTGCTTAAACATAAGATACATATACATATACAATTGTTTATAGCGCGTTTTTTGTTGTTGTTGTTTGTTTTTGTTTTAAATGCAAGTTCAACACAAATAATATTCGCATACGCATACGGCCTGCTGGTTAAATAATCATAATAATAATAATTAGTTAATTCGGGAGAAAGAAAAACGTACAGAGACATTTCTTTTCTCACTTGGGGCAGCAGCAGCAATGGATTTTTGTTGTGAGAGGGCTAAGAATTCCTTCGTTTTTTTTTTTGCTTTTTAAATCTCGTTTAACATTGCACAAGAGTCGTTTTTGTTTGTTTTGTTTTGTTTTATATTACTTTTAGTTGTTGTTTTGCTGTAGATAAGTTCTTAAAGCATTCCCGAACGGTAGGTTTTTCTCATTCATTAACTGTTTACTTGCTGCTGTGGTGGGGGGGCCTCCCCTCTCTTTAAACTTAATAGAATTGTTAGAATTGTGGTTTTCTGTTGCTGTTGTTGTTGTTGTTTTGGAAGTTTGGACAAACTCGTGTGTGGTTGCTTGTCATTTATCGTCGTTGTAGGGCTTCTGCTTCTGCTTTCTGCTTCCTCCTCAGCGACATTAAATGTCCTGCAAATGGAGTAATTTTTTGTTTGTTTGTCAGTGTTTCCACGTGCCAAAAAAAACTAATAGCCTGCTACCCACCTGCTCCCCATTTGAGACATGCTGTTGCAGCTTGGTGATCAACTGCTCCTTCTGGTTAACAATGCCACGCCAATGCTCATCCTGCTCCCTTGCACGCTCCTCCAGGTCCATCAGCGTGTTGGTCTGCAGCAGCAGCAAATGGATTATTATAGAGATTAAGGGAATATTTATGCAAGTCTGAGGATTAATGCTTACCGTTTTGGTGACCAGCTGCGTGAGCTTATCGTTCGTTTCCCGCAACTGCAGGTTCTGTTTGTGCAGCTCCAGCTGCTGTTGCTGCTGCTCAGCGTTGGGGGCGGCGGAGGAGGAGGATTTGCTATTCGAACTACTATTATTGCTACTAATATTGTTGTGGATTGCGCTGCTGCTACCGCTGCTGGTGCTGGTGCTGCTCCTATTGTGGTTGCTACTGCTACTATTGTTTGATTGTGTGGACTTATTACTACTGTTCTGGGCCGCCTTCCTCTCCAGCTCCAGCTGCTGCTGCTTGATGTGTGTGGCCAACACCTGCTCCAGCCACTGATCGAAGGAGGCCTGCAGTGCACTGGCCGCTTGCGCTTTCACCGCATCTGGGTAGAGACGCTGGTAAAGATCGCGTATGCGTTGCTGTTCGCTCTTGGCGGAGGAGCTTGCCCCATTGGCAGCCGCCGCAGCCGCAGCCGCTGACTTTTGCTGTTGTTGCTGCTGTTGCAGTTGCAGCTGCAGATCTTGTTGCTGCTGTTGCAGTTCCTTCTGTTGCTGCTGCAGATCCTTCTGTTGTTGCTGCAATGCAAGACAAATAAAATTAAGCAAAACCCAAAGCCGAATGGCAGTACAACTAAAAGAAGGTAGAAAAAGGAAGGGAAGGGGGTGGGTTGGGGTGTTAGATTGGGGAGATCTGTGCATGCACTTACGCCTAAGGATTGCTTGGTATTTGCTTTCGTCTTTGCGGTTGCGGTTGCTGTTGCTTCGGCATTTTGCAACGCTTCAATCAACTTCCAATTTTTCATACGCACGTCCTGACGAAACACAAATACGTGTGGCAATTAGTAAAAAGGTTGCAACGACACACAGAAGGATGGGGTAAACGTGTAGGCATGCGTATGGGTTGGACAGAATAAACAACACGCGAAACAAAACTGAGAGTTTCCCGGTACTCACATTATTCTTCTCGCGCTGTTCCTGCAGCTCCTGCTGCAGCTGCTTCTCCCTTGCCACCAGCTGCTCGGCATGTTGCTGCAGCTCCTGCACCTGCGATTGCAGGCTGCTGGTGTGCTGCTGCTGCTTGTCCTGGGCCGCGGTCAGCGATCCGTACTGCGCCTGCAGGGCACTCAGCTCCTGCTGCTTCTTGGCCAGAGCATCGGACTGGAATTGGGCCTGCTCCGACTGGGCGGCCGTTGCCTGAACGGCGCTGCTTGTGGCCTGGCTGAGCTGCTGGTTGAGTGTCTGATTGTTGGCCTCCAATGTGGCCGTCTGCTGGCGCAGCTCCTGCAGCTCGCCGCCGCGGACATGCGTCAGTTCCGATTGGGCTTGCGCCAGATCGGCCTTGGCCGACTCCAGGGCATTGTGGAGATTGCGCAGCTCCACCTTCAGCTCGCCGTTCTCAGCGTCCAGCTGATTGCGCTGCTCCAACTCAAAGATGCTGTTGTTCTGGCGCACCTCCAACTCGTCGCGCTGCTGCTCGAGGGCCAGCAGTTGCTGGGCCTGCTGCTGGATCAGCTCATTCTTCTGCTGCGTCTCGGCGCTCACGAAGGCGGTCATGTCGGCCAGGCACTTCTCCTTGTGGGCCAGATCCTGCTGCAGGCGCTGCAACTGTGGCACCAAGTCCTGCGAACTGGCCTGCTTTTCCCTCAGCAAGGTCTGAAATCGGAAGACAAAATCCATTTGTGTATGATCTAGGGGGAGGGACTGCTGCTGTGGACATACCTGGAATTGCTGGCGTTCGAGGGTCAGCTTATCATTGAGACTGGACAGCTCCTGGTTGACGGCGGACAACTCCTGCTCTTTGCCCTGCAGCTTATCGTTGTAGGCCTGAATGCGGCCATGCATCTGGGCGCGCTCCGTGTTGACCTCCTGGCGCAGCTCGCGCAGCTTGGCTTGGATGCCAATGGAGGCCTCCTGCTCTTCGGCCAGCAGCTTCTCCTTCTCCTCCAGCTGGCGCTTCAACTTCTGGCAAATGTCGTCCGACCACTCGGCATGGGAGGCGGGCATATCCTGCTGCTTGTTCAGCAAATAGTCGATCAAAATCTGTATCTCGGAACGATTCAGCTCGGCACGGGAGAACACATTCATGAGAGCTGAGACACCAATCGTTTGGTTCTGATGATCCGCCAGCTTTTCCAAAGCCTGGGCCAGTTCCTTGGTCGTCAGGGTCTCCTTCTGCTTCTTGTGCTGCTGCTGCTGTTTGGTCTTGTTGTTCACTTGGTTGTTCTGGGTCTTGGGCGAGCCGTTCTGCGGTTGCTGCTGCTGCTTCAGTATCTGCTTGGGTACGGACGGTGGCTCCTGGTCAGCAGCAGCTGTGGGTGAGACACCAGCGGTGGTGGCCTGTGGCTTCTCCTTCTTGGCCACATTGCCGGATCCGTTCTTCTTCTGTGCCTGCTGCTTGTTGTTGTTGTCCTCTTTGCGTTCCTTCTGCTCCTGCTTCTTCAGCTCGACCACATCCTTGGGTGCGCGTACCTCAAAGCTGTTCAGAGTGGGAGTCTCCTCAGCGGTGAGGGGCTTCACGGCCACGGCCTCGTTTTTGTTGACCAAAATGCCAGCGACAGAAGCGGCGGCTGCTGCTGCTGCGGCTCCACCCTTGCCAGCATTCCGCTTGTCCTTCTTGCCCTTCTTGCCCACGGGAACGTTCTCCTTTTCGGCGGCATTGCTTGACCTACGCTGGTCGTTCATGATCTCTGCATCGGGCTCGAATTCCACATGCTGCTTGGACAGGCCGGGCTCCTCCTCGACAGAGCCCTGCTCCTCGGACTGGCCATCGGAGTAATCCTCCTCGGGATCGTGGCTGGCATCCCGCTGTTGTTCCCTCTGTCGCTGTTTCTTCTCGCGCTTTCAGTTCCTTCTTCTTGGGCTTCTTGGTGGCCGCCGCTCCGCCGCCGGCCTTGTACAGATTGGCGCTCAGGGCGCGCTTCTCGGCGACAACCTCCTCGAAGGTCTTGCGCCTAAAGATCTTATTGATGAACAGGAAGGAGAGCAGGGAGGCGCTGATCACACAACCAATGACGATCAGTATGTGGAAATCCATATTTGCATATCTTGCCTTGATGCAGCTGCTTGGGGGTTCTTCTCAGGGATCTCCTTTACGTGTAGGGTTACTGCAAATGAGAGTTTCGAGTGTTATACGAGTGTAATGGGCAAAATGTTACTCTTCCAGCACCTAATCCTATCGACAAAATCAACTAAAAAAAAAAAACCCCCTCACACATTCTTTGTTTCATTTGGCTTTTAGTTTAGTTCCTGCTTCATAATCAGACTTTTGTTGCTGCTGCTGGTGCTTCTGATGACGTGTACCTTTGCAATTAGTGGAACTGAACGTTCAAGTCGACAACACCACAAAATAATTGTACGAACAAAATTTCACATTAAACGAAAGATCAACGACATTTACACCCAATAGCAATTACCGCAGGTCTCTGCTGTATTGGTGCGTGTGAATGTGTGTGTGTGTGTGCTCGTGTATTTTTGTATGTACAATAATAAATAGTAGCGGTACGTGCTTATCAGTTTACCGGCCGGTGAATGGTACCATAATACACGTACACTTTATGATGAGACACTCTTGTTGCTATTGCATTTCTCACTGTTTGTTTGACGTTTATATTAATACGAGTATAAATGCTCATTGTTGAACTTTGTCATTGTGGAGATAAACGAATGCACTGCAGTCAGCTAGGATGGGCTTAAATTAATACACCTTACAAAAATGCCAATTGAAAAAGTTCACTTTTCAATTGTAATTTCTGAATGTCGATATTTACATAGTAGATTCAATTATCGACGACTCAAAGATTTACAGACACAGAAATTTATTCCAAGTAACAAACAAAAAAAAACAAACATAAAATTAGCTTACAAAGCGAATAACAATCAACACAGACTCGCAGCTGCTGTCTACCCTTGAAAGAAAGTTAAATTTGCAAAAAAAGCCCTGAAGGCGTTGACGCAGATGGGCTCCCACACGTTAAAAAAAAAAACCCGAAGAAATGCTGATAAATCGTTAAATATTCCCACACAAACACACACACCTCTTCTCCACTCCAAATGTTAAGGCTCTGACGCACACACGTATGCAAATTGTAGGAGCGGAAATCACAAAATATAATTTTCTAAACTTGAAATCTTTAAGCGAAGACCCAAGAGACGACTGACAGAAAGTTAACGTCAGCATCAGAAGCAGCAGGCAGTAGCGAGCGAAGCCAAGCTTTGCGATCTCTCTCGCTCTCTCTCTGGCCCTGGGAGAGAGTCTGGTCTGGTCTGGTCTGCCAACTCACCGTGAAGAAGTGGTTCCCACTCTCCATCTCTTTCTCTTTCTTACTGCCTGGCAGCAAAGGAATGGAATTCACAAATTGCAAAAATTTCAATTCAAGGTTGTTGCTCTCTGAATATCTGCCGGCAGCAGCAGCACAGCACCAACTTAAGAGATAACTGGACGCTCTGAGTCGACTCTCTCATGTTTCTGACTGTGTCCCGGAATTTTTTTACAGTCAAACTCGTATAGTGCGGCGCTTTCAAAAAAGTGCTAGAGACAGCGCAAGATACCCCCACAAGAGATACATATTTCTAGAGAGCTGCCCAGACTTTGTTGCGTCAGTAAAATTTTTTAAAGAATTTTACAGTAATAACTTGAGAATGTTAAAGACATATTTTGTTTGATTATTTGCTGATGGCATCATCAGTTTTCGTTTATGGAGAGGGGCGACAAGAGACCTTTTGTTGTTCAAATATTGTCTTATTTGTGGAGTACATAAACCCGAATTAATATTTGATGAAACTATGAGAACAGCTTCGATTCGAACAGTAAATCGATGACAAGTGGAGTGACTCCACTGACATGTCTCTCCCCAGACCAGTATTGCTGCTGGCAGTAACGCTCCAGCAGAGCACACACACACGCACGCACACTGAGAACGTGAGAAGAGGCATACAACTACATACATATGTAAGCGTATGAAAAAATACAATAAAAACGCCGGTAAAGGTCATCAACCGGAAGAGCGACGCTACGGAATGTGATCATGTATTTGTGTGTGTTCCTCAGAGTTTCGTGTGCGTGTGTGTGTGTGTGAAAGTCGAAATCTTTGGCTGCCAATTATCATTATGACCATCCTCTATAAATAATTGTGTATTACAGTCTGGCAGCATGAAAAATATACTTGCTGCTCGCCCTGGTTACAAACTGGCATCCAACTGCACAGTTGGCCTAATTCTCTGTGTTCTTTTTTCTCTCACTCGCCCCAATGTTCAATTAGTTGACAGCAACAACAACACTTAAACACATGGAATTTCTCTGTCTTTCTGTCAGTCAGTGCAGCCAATTTAGCTTTTGTTTCCCCGCCAAGTCTGCTGCTATGGGAAACAAGAAATCTTACTTTAAAATCTCAAATCAGATTTACCAATAAGAAATCCTAACAAAATGAAAATTATTCGAATTAGATGTACTTATTATTATGGTATAGATGGATTATTTTGCATCCATATTGTTATATGATGGTGGCCATTTCTAGCTGTTTTCATCGGGCAACACTAGTGAACGGTGCAAGTGCTTCTCACTCGCTCTCCCTTACTCTCGCACGGCCAGCACTCATTCATTATTTTCTTTTATTTATTCATAAATGCAAGCGACTCGGCCGGCAAGCGGCTCAAGTGTTTTAATTTTAGAAAGCTCTCCTACACTCTTCTTTTATGATATTTATGCAACATGCAATGTTTTTTTTGCTGGCCGCCCCTGTGGGAGATTTGGTTTGGTCGTCTTGCGTGGGAGCGTCAAGTTCGTTTCTAGTTTTGTTATTCGATTGGTAGGTCAGCCAAAAAAAGACTTTCGACGACATTTGGGTCCAGAGAAGGAAGGTTGCCGCAGATCGGATTGGGAGTATTTTCTAGAGCTGTGTGACTCACAAATGTGCGCCTCTGTGTCTGTGTGTGTGTGTCACGGTTCTATAAATAAGCTAATTGAATATGAGATGTCCGTTAATGATTATTGATTGCTGACGTAGACAAGTGACTTTTCAATACTGTCCGATTATCAATTGGGTTTTCCTAGAATTACAGTTTACAGTTCAGTTCCGAAGGCCTTATCGCCAATTGAACGTGAATGAAACGACTCGATGTGCATTTATTATTTATTCGACTGCAGGCTACTCTCTCCCTGTCTCTTTCTCTCTCTCTCTCCGTTGCTCTTGATAAGCTGGGGCCAGAGAATGCGTGTATGTGTGTGTGTGTGTGTGTGGTGAGGTCAGCAAAAGGCTGCCAACAATGTGTAAATTGTCAGAGCAAGACAACACGAATAAAGAGAACAAGCAGCGCATCAATTATGTTCTTGATTTTGATAAAAATCTCAAACGGGAATACCAGTGCATTCTGAGGGGGGATGCAAGGGCGGAGCAGCCCAGACGGCGGCGCACAAGTTTTTGGCAAACCAAACAAATAAATTCAGCTCGCTGGCGGCTGCTGGTTTTCTTTGTGTCAGCTGTCCCTTTTGCTCATAATTAAATCGCAATCGGGGCACACAAGTGAAAGTATGCCATTCATCAAATTCAGATATTTTTCTCTAATTAGGCATCTAATTGGCAAACGCCTCTGATAATAAGAATAATTGCACACCAATAAATAGTGGTTTCTGCCAGAGGCCCGAGGGCCGCTTTGTGTCTGTCCACGAGTGGAAGGAAGACAAAAGGGCGTCGCTGCCGCCCGTCGCCACTGTCTCCGTCTGACCGACACACAAACACAACACCTTGCACTGCACTCACACATACACACCACTTGCCGCACACTCGAATAGGCTTCAACTCTTATTTGAAGCAATTACCGTTGTCTCTGCTCGCACTTGCAACGTCAACAATTTTCACATTTCACATTTAAATGCAGTTTTCTTTTTTTTTGTTGGAAACGCATCCGCCATTTGCAAGCAAGTTGTATACGTGTGCGTCCCTTGCATGTACATGTACATACATATATTGGAGCATGTGTGTGTGTGTGTGTGCAGGTATCGTTGTCGCGTCGGCAATTTTCTTGAGCCATTTCGGCATTCATTTTCTACTGCATTTGATTCTTTGGAACATTCTACTTAAACTTTACACTTTTCTTAAGCCAACTGGCTACGACTTACACTTTTTGTATGCGTTTTGATTTGGTGGCAACTTAAATCATTTATAAACCACGGAAAGATTTCTCAAACAATCGATTAGGGCTGGCAAAACATCAATAGATTCATCGGCCAGATAGGTTTTATCCTTTTTGCGTAATCATCGATGTTTCCCCCAGCTCCAACACTTTTTATCGTCAGCGGGTAAATGCACAAAATTAAAGGGGAATTTGCATATTTTTTAATTTCCACGTTGATAATAATAATTTAGATCATTCATATACGGTTTTTATCATTTAACAATATTTTTTTTAATTCGATTGTATCGATATGACTGGAGACATCGATGCATTGCCAGCGATATTTTCAATTGCGTCCGTCCAAGCAGTCAAAAAAATATTTATTTTGCAATTAATTTATAGTGTTTTTTTTTTTGTGTAAATCATGGCCAGTTTTGCCAAGGTTTTGCTGCTCCTGAGCTCGCTGGCCACTTTCGTGTATACCTTTTTCGTGGTTGGCAAGCTGGTGCTGTTCCTCTCCACACCTCGCTCGATTTCGAAGGCACACACGTGGATTTTCAATTTGCTGGACAACAAGTCCCGGCTGGAGACCGCCTATGGGCCCATTGTGTTCGACACACTCTACCTGATAGGATTCATCTTCCAGCACAGCTTCCTTAAGTCAGCGCTGGTGAAGAATTTATTGGGCAAATTGGGCTTGGCTGCAGCCGAGCGCACTATTTATAGTTTGACATCATCGCTTTGTTTACATGTTTGTACTACTACAGCAACAGTCATGAAAATAGAGCCGCAGACAATACTAATTTCACCTTATCCCACATTGCAGTATCTGCTGAAGAACTGGCTGCCAGCCCAGTCGATTGTCTTGTGGCAAATTGATGTGGACGAGAGTGCTCCACTCTGGTGGACTTTTGTGGTCACACATGGCCTTGGCTGGGCCGTCATCTTTGGCGGCTGCCTTATAATGGATCTGCCCGAGCTGTTGGGCGTCAAGCAGGTCTACTATGACCTTAAAGAGTATGGGGAGCCCATTGCCTACAAGTCGAGCGAGCTGCGTCATCTGTACTCTCATGTGCGTCATCCGTCCTTTGTGGGTCTCTCCTTGATCCTGTTTGCCACGAATGTCATGAGCCTGGATCGCCTGCTGCTGGCCTCGCTGCTCACCGTCTACATGTACGTGGCCTGGTCCACTGACGATAGGGACGTGGCCTACCAGAAGCAACAACTGCAGTGCAAGAAACACGAGCTGAAGGCTCAGTAAATCGAATTCTTCTCATTTAGCTCTAGTTCCTATTTAAGCTGAACGTATAACACATTAAAGACTAACTCATCCTAACAATGGACGGATCAAAGGGTTGTCCTTTAAAGGGTGAACCCTCAGCGTCCCAGGCGGCGCGTAGACGTTCCATGGTTTTGGCCTGCTCCGGATTGGCAGCCTGCAGTTGGCTTTGTCTCTTATCCGCCTCCAGCTGTTGCACTCGCAGCTTCTCTATGGTCGCCTGTGTGTCGTCGGGCAGATCGTCTATATAGCGCTCGCAGTCAATTTTCTTGGTATCAATTTCAGCGTCACCCTCGAAGAGTCGGTCCCACCACAGCTCCTTGGCCTTGTCTGGCGATAAGGATTTGGATCACTTACAGCATTCAGGGAACAGTGTCCAAGCACTTACCACAACTGATGTGCAGCATGCCGTGGTCAATGGTCCACAAGGCTTCGTTATGCTTGATCCGCTGGCTAAGATTTCCCTCTAGAATAAAATGGTCTGGCTTCTGTTTGCTGCTCACCCTAAGGCATTGGGCCTTGATCTCTATATTCAGATTTTTAGATATTTTCAGCTCTTCGGGCAGCTTCACTTGAACTTCCAGATCCTTTAACGTCTGCGACCAGCAGTGGCTCGCAAAGGCAGCTCCATTCTTGTAGTCAATGAGGGAAAACTCAGACTCGGCTGACGCAGTCTTCTGTTGTGGATTTTTCGGCTCACTTTTGGGTGCATCGCTGCTCTCCACGATTACTTCCTCCACGACAGGCAGACCGAACGTGCCATTGTCCACCATTTCACTCTCGACGTTCATTGATTGAAGAGAGCAGTCCGGGTCGTAGCGCTGCATGGCTCCATAAAGAATCTGATCCCGCATACCCTTGGGAAATCCAATTTGGTCAGCCTCATCCTTTTTCGTGTGATAAAAGTCGGTGCTAGAGGAATCAAAGCAGGGACATTAAATTTACCAAGTTGCAGGGCTTAATTTGTGTACTTGCGACGCAGAAATCCAAACATGGAGTCCAGGAATCCCACGATGGTCTTTCGATCTTGCAGTATTTCCATAAGCATGGCATCGTTTCGCTGAAATTCCATTTTTGCCCGACGATCAAGAAAATTACGAGCCAATTTAAAAATTTCACACCTGCTGGAACGATAGCTATCGATATATCGAGTGTTGTCAGAGTTGTTGGCCTTTGTAGATTATATCAATTTGTTTAATTTATATTCTATTATTTGACAAAATGATTGGAAGACTGTCGTTTTGGAATAAAGACAGTACCACCAGTGAAGTGGACTGTTTGGGCTGTCGTCTGGTCAGCGGTTTTGGACTGATCGGCATTGGAGTCTATCTGCTGGCCCAGGCAAAGCGGCGCAGCAAGCCGCTCGAGAACTACACAATGAAAGGCTTGGCAGCCGGTACGTAATCCATTTACACTCTGCAGTTCTCTTTATTAATGGTTCAATGTGTGACTCTTCATTAGCTGTTGGCGCTCTGGGCGTGGCTCGCCTGGGCAATGCAGAATTCTTTAAGCCTACCGCTAAGCAGGAACCGGAGGAGGGGACGACGACGCCCACAAAGATTATAACCAAGGATCATGGATTCTTTACTAGACGCTAGGCAGGCGGTTTTATTAGCTAGCTGACTCATTAAATTTACAATTAGTTATGTACTGTTGTTGCTTGGGTTTTGCATATGTTCATGGGAACTGCTTCAGAAGCCCACTTTTCCCAGCTTGGTGTCAGTCTTTGGATTGGCAGTTAGATTTTGAACCGACACGATGGTCTCGTTAATGTGCGTTTGCAGCTGGCGCAGGCTCTGAATCTGCAAGAGGCGTAGGATGCGCATGGGAAGGTCCAGGGCGGGATCGTTGGGGGAGACCACATCGTTGCCCTTGTCAAAGGGAAACGGTGTCCCGGCAATGGGCTTACGTCCCCTGGCAGCAGGCGAAAGGCGTTCGTGCACCACCCACGCTACGGCCTCCAGCTGCAGCAGATGATTGGGATGATGGGGCACATTCAGTTGGCCAGCCAGTGTGCGCACCCCAGCAATAAACTCTTTGTCATCAACTATTTAAATACAAAAATTAATGGGTTACAGCAACGATCTGCTTTGGGTAATCTCTTACCATTCATTTTCCCGTCAAAAATGACCTGCACTTTTTGTTGCGGCTGCTTGCTGTTGGCCTTGGGCAGGCTTTGCTTGCTGTTGAACGACTCGTACTGGGATGGGTCGTCCAGAAACTCCAGACGTATGGCATGACCTAAAATCCAGGCGAGCTGTTCGTGTTGTGTCCCCAGGCTCGGCATATTCAGGTCTCCGCAGTACTTCTGGTAGCCATCCTCCCACAACTGGGCGTTGTCTACGCTGCGCAGAATTGCCCGGTCTTCTATTGCATATAGTCGTATCTTTTGGTCCTCCAGCCAGAGGATTATACTCGCAAAATCCTTGCGATCTAGTTTGTGGTGAAATTATCCTATTAATATCGCTCGAAATCGGCCTAACTAGTACTCACTGCTTAGCGCCAGATCACTAGGTGTGGGATACCCCAAGGCCTCCAGTTTCTTCTTGAGCATTGTCTAATTATAATCGTTTTTGACAGAAAATTTCAGCAGTTTTTGTCGTCAGCCGGCACTGCTTCTTCTTTTTCGTCCCCTTTGAGGAATGGTACTATCGCAGCTGTTCGCACTCGATATAGCCAGCTATCGATGACTGCTATCCCACTGATATACCACCCCTAGCAACGTGAGAAGCACGCGTTTTGTTTTTAAAATTTTTTTCTGTTTTCCGACTAAAATGGCCCTTCTCACTGCGAAGCGCCCGAAAAAAGAGGCTGCCCCGGCCACAGACAGTTCGAACCACGAATCGGACTCGGACGACAGTCAGAATGTTGACGGCGACACAGGTGCCAACGCCGGCTGGGCAGACTGCATTGGCAAAGTACTGAAGAGCAAGTCGGTGGGACCCACAGTGCTGTCCCGGGCCAAGAAGAATCCCGGAATCGTTCGTTCCAAGGGCAGCGAAGCGGCAAAGAAGCCAGGCTTCGACTTTGAAGTCGTTGGAGGCGATGTTAAAGAGGAGACAGATGATGATGACGATGATGAGCATGGCGACGCTAACAGATCCGCATTGGATGCGGAGCTGACCAAGTCGGAGCGCAGAAATGTTCCGCTGCAGCTGAGAGTGAAGCCCAGCTACCAGGACCTGGAGAGGGAGCGAACACTGCGCAAGGTGGCCACTCGTGGCGTGGTCCAGTTCTTCAACGCGGTGCGCATTCAGCAGAAGGATCTCGAGCAGCAGTTGGCCGATGCGGGGCCACTGGACAGTCGTCAGGATGCGGTGCTCAATAATATCAACAAACGAAAGTTCCTGGACGTGTTGATGAGTGGCAAGCGGGCCAAATCGACGGCCATAGATAACGCTGTCAAAAAGGAAGAGCCGGAGGAGACGGATGATGACGACGAGGACGACAATGATGACACTGCTGCGGAGTCTTCGTCCGGCAAAAAGAAGTCCGAGTGGAATGTGCTGCGAGAGGACTTTATGACCAACAAGAAGATCAAGCACTGGGACGAGGAAGATGACGAGGGCAGCGATCAGGGGGCCAACAACGACGAGGCGGATGATAGCGACGACGATGATGAGGAAGATTAGTGTTTAATTACTTTAATAGGCCTTAATAAATTAGAGTTCTTTGATTTGTAATCGGCTTTACATCATCTCCGCCTTGGATGTCAGGTAGATGCCCACAATCAGTCCAAAGAGCCCGATGGCCGAGCCAAAAATCTCCACAATTAGAACCTTGACAAACAGCGACGCATTGGCCGAGTCGGCCAGGGCTGCTCCAGAGCCCACAATGCCAACAGCCACGCCGCAAGCGATGTTAACCAGTCCCACGGCCAGCCCGGACCCAAATACAGCGAATCCTGTGAACATGTTCCTGGCCATTTGACCCTTGTCGCTCAGCATCTTCGACAGGCGATAGTTGTTGATACTGCCAGACAAAACTATGGCCATGATCAGGCCGTAGATGGCCACCGCCTCGCAGAATATAATCGAGATGAGGTTCTTGGTCTTGATGCGGGGCGAGCGGACACCGCCCCCGACAATGCTGGTCCCCGTAGTATAGATCCCAACGGCGGCACCCACCACGGACAGCGACACCGACAGCCCAATGCCCAGTCCAGCCCACAGGTACGGACTGGCGGTGTACAGAAACCAGCCCAGTCCCATACGCTCGCCGATGTCCGTCATCACATGGCTGAGGATCACAACCGTCATAACAACGGTGATTATGGTGCATATCCCCAAAACGAATTTGGTGCGAAAGTTCATGTTTTCTCAGTTGAAATTCCAGACGATAGCGCTCCCTTCAATGAATAGAAATGACTGACTGATAAACAAAAGTGGGAGCTGACCCGGAAGCTGCGCGGCTTATAAATTCGCAGTAGCAAACATTATTAAATTTGATAAAAATTTTCATTGTAAATTCGATGGCACTGCAGCGAGAAAGGGACGGCTGCATGCACAAAGTGCATTGGTTGCGGTTGTTAGAATGAAACAGCTATATGGTTATGGAAATACAGCACTGTATTTACAGTTACATCGTAAATGCTTGCATACATAGCGCATATGTATGTGTGTATTTATAATGAAAGAAATTTCGCAATTTAACGATTCGATTTGGCGACACGCTCCAGCTCATCCTTCTTCTTGATGGCATACGAATTGGACGAGCCCTTGGCGGCATTGATCAGCTCATCGGCCAGGCACTCGGCCACGGTTTTGATGTTGCGGAAAGCCGCCTCACGTGCACCAGTGCAGATCAACCAAATGGCCTGCAAGGCAAATTGGGGGGAATGATTCCAATACATTTAGCTTCATTTTGTTATATTCTGCTTACCTGATTGACACGACGCAATGGCGAGACATCCACAGCCTGACGGCGCACAGTGCCAGCGCGTCCAATGCGTGTAGAGTCCTCACGTGGCCCAGAGTTGACAATGGCAGTCACCGTCACTTGCAATGGGTTTTCCGAGGTCAGCAAGTGGATGATCTCAAAGGCATGCTTCACGATGCGGCATGCCAGAAGTTTCTTGCCGTTACTGCGGCCCTTCATCATCAGCCCGCTGGTGAGGCGCTCCACAATCGGACACTGAGCCTTGCGAAAGCGTTTGGCCGCATAGCGTCCCGCCGAGTGCGGCAAATAGCGTGCAAACTTCTCCTTCACGGCAATGTAGTCTTGCAGCGAAATATCACTTATGGATATGTCATCGCAGGCCCAGCGGCCGAATAGCTTTATCTCGGGCCACTCATTCGCTTGCAGGTGGCCTGCTGCAGCCGTTCCTTCATCCTCCCATATTTCGTCGTCGGCAGTTTCTATTGGCACCACAGGCGCCTCTGCCACCTGCACAGTCGGTTCGATTTCGGACTCAGACATTTCAATGCAAATTAAGCTGCAAATTACGATTTTACTCTGCACTGCGTGCGTGTGGCTATACCGTTTCCAAGAAAAGAAAGAGACTTGAAAAGGAAGGAAAGAAAGAGATTACAAGATGGCGTTAGCTTTTCGAAAATGGCGGCAAAGACATATCGATGTATATTATTGTTTGACATTAATATCGGGTATTTTTGTGCGAAAAACGGCAATTACCGGAGTTTTTTTTAGCCGAGTGTGAGCATAATTTTCGCTTTATTTCATACATTTTCCCGTTAGAAACAATGCATCCAGCGAAACCCACCACGAATATTAGCAATCGATAGCACCATCGGTAGCTCGAATTTGTTCGAAGCCCCGATTTAAGTGCTGTGAATCGAAAAAATAAGTGCTGTGCAACGAATGAGCGGCAATTTAAATTTCAAATATTAAAACAAAGAAACCATTTCTTCACATTATTATACACACCCGCGTGCACAATCTCCTGCAGACATATCTTCTAGGCTGCTCCAATTACAACTGAGCTGAAGACATTAATCAGACTCTAACAATTCAACTCACAAACAATTGTAGGTCAGATCTTTACCTTTGGTGATCACAATTTGATATTTCACATGCTTAGATACAGCTGATATATGTACATATGTACGTATCCATGTGTGTGCTATAGTCATAACAAGTTTGCGCGTGCTTTTGATAAGCACTCGAAGTCAGTCAGATTCATTCACACACAAAGATTGATAAACAAAACGGATTGATTTTATTACTTGTTTAATATGGAATACTTGCTATGTATAATAATAATAATGCGATTGTTGTGTATCTTCCATTACTTCTGCCATTAGCAGCAGCAGCAGCATCAAATATACATGGTTCATCGTTTTTGTAGTAGTTAATATAATACATTCTCATTTAGAAATACAATTGCCAGTAAGAAACAAAAACATAACAAACTGCTTAGTAACATAAATATACACACACACGCACTCACAGCTCACGCACACACACACACAAACACATAATTGTCTTTCGTTTGGCAAAATAAAGATTATGTAAAACAAAACGAATCGTAGTCATTTTTACACCATGCACACTCAGCAATCAATTGAAAATTGGATGCTGATAATTGCGCGAGTATGCGTGGCGTAAAAATAAACATTTAAATCTACAAAACTATCAACTTAATAAGTAACTAAAGTCCCAGTTTAATGCGTGTCTCGGCAGATTGGATTGGGGGGTGTTGCAAACTGTAACTGCAAGCTTCTTGTTGTAATTTCCAGAAAAAAAAACACGGCCGACCCTCACTGATGTTGCTGTGCGATGGAGGGGCCTTGGGTAAGAGGGGGGTGGGGGGAATGACTTGATGACTGGTCTGATTATTGTTCTTCTTGCCGATGATTAAGTGAAGTCTGCAAGGGAGAAACGTAATTTAGCTGCGTTTGAAATGCATTCAGCTGTGGCACACTCACTCTGAACACTGGCAGCCTACTCCTTGTCGCCCATCTTCGACTTGGACGTCATGTAGATGCCCACAATGAGGCCGAACAGACCGATGGCCGAGCCGAAAATCTCCACAATCAGAATCTTGACGAAGAGGGCCGCATTGGCGGCGTCCGAGAGAGCAGCACCAGAGCCAACAATGCCAACGGCAATGCCGCAGAACAAGTTGACCAGGCCGACGGCGAGACCAGCACCGAAGATCAAATAGCCCGAGAACCAGTTGGTGTTCATGATAGCCTGATTGTTCAGGGCCGTCTCCATTTGGAACTGATCCAGCTGGCCGGAGAGCACAATGGCAGTGATCAGGCCGTAGATGGCCACCGCCTCACAGAAGATGACGGAAATCAAATTCTTGGTCTTGATGCGGGGAGCCTTGACACCGCCGCCAACAATGCTGGTGCCCGTCGTGTGGATGCCAAGGGCGGCACCCACCACAGACAGCGAGACGGCGAGTCCGATGCCCAGGCAGGCCCACATGTACGGATTCGACGCGGCAAGGAACCAGCCAACGCTCACCCGCTCGCCCTTGCCAGTCAAAACAAAGTACAGGATGAGGATGGTGGCTGCGGTCGTGAAGAGCCCCAGGAAAGTCGATATCACCACTGTGCGTATTTGGGCCGCCATTTTGCAGGTTTTTCTTGTCTAGCTAATGGGGAAAAACGTTCCAGAGTCCTGAATTTTCCATAATTTGCAGGCACACTCACCGAATTGAAGGCGTAATTGTATTTTCTCGGCCGCGACAGGTGACTGCTTCGTGCGAAAAAAATCACATGACCGATTTATTTTCTCTATTCACAGGGCTGGGAAAAAAATCGATTCAAACATCGATATAATCAGTTCTTTGGCAATCGATGTTTTTCTGCGACAACTTGACCAAAAAATTCCATCTCCAATTTACCACAATTTAACGCGAACCGCGAACTAGAGTGAAGCATAAGGGTAAGCAGCTATAAAAACAATCTTCCATTTCGGTACGGGTAGAAAAGTCTGCAAACATAAATACATATAAATACATAAATTCAGCCAAGCTGAGGGATATATTTGCACAACCATGGTATATAAGTACGAGGCCCCTAAAAAAAGCTTGTCCGTTTTAATACTGGGGGCCATACCTTGCCATGACCCATTCGAAAGAGAGCACTCAAAACGCTCTCCGACTCGTTTTTGCGTTTGGATATCGATAGTTGTAAGGATTTCGCGGTAAACGAAATAGTTGGCAACGCCATGAATAACTTTCAACGACATCCCACAGATGGCGCGTCACAAGTAAGCGGGAAATCTTCAAAACTCAAACGTAATTTTATTTCTAGGACAGATTTGCTGCGGCTTAAGAGATGTACCTTCTTAAACTACATGGTAGTAAAATTTAACTGCTGCATTCCTTGCTCTCTTATTTACGCTCATTAAATAAACCATATAAATGCTACATATATCTCATGCTTACTTCCATTTGCATATCTGCTGGCCGCTGTTTTTTGCGGTTCACTGACTGCCGCCCGCCGCTTAAGGAATTACGTCAAATCTTGGCCTTTGCCAGTGCGTACGCGTACGCATGTAAAAAATACCCTGCAGGTAGCGACATTTCCAGCTCATTGAATTGGTCAGGTCAAGCCTGCCCGTGGGAAAGGTGTTCCAGCCTCCTCCGCCATTACGTGGGTGGTGCTGGTGGTGCACGTTTAACAACAACCACGTGACGGCAGTGTAATCTAAAGCCACATCATCATTAAATATTTACACTACATTATAATTTCTGTTCTTTTCTTAGGCGGCGCGTGCCAGGCAAAAAGTAGCGAACGTAGAAGGAGTCAGCGTGTCGTCGGCGGGCAGAGGCGACACAACCGCAACATTCAATTAAACGTAATGTGTTGTTTGTTGCCCCCTTGAAGGGCAGGTTCTTGGGCCCCCCCCACCACTCGTATACCTTGATAATAAATGTAAACTTTTCACTTGAAAAATTCACGACGCCGACGCCGACGACGCGCATAAAGAGCGAAATAAAATAAGATGCCCCAAAACGAAAATATAGAATTGTTCGGGGGCTTGGCTTGGGGTTTGGCTTGGGTTTGGGTTTGGGTCAGTGCTCAAGTCAAATATCACAAGAGAAATCCATTAACCTTTGTCTCTGTTATTTTTTTTTTAGTATACATACCCATTACCCGTTACTCCCAGAGTACTTAGGACGTGTTCTGTATATGTTTGTAGCACTTCCTAGAGGAAAAACTTAAGGTATCCAAAATAACTTACAGATTTTTGTATTGATATAAATATATATAAATAAATAAATATAAAATATAAATATAATTATATAAATATAAAATATAAATATTATCTGAAACCAGAAAAATATTTGGCATTTCCACAATAAATAAATCCATATGCGAGGTATCTTCTAGTCGGAATGCTTACTGTATATTGTACCTTTCTTGGCGTTTTTGTTTTGTTTTTGTCTTTTCTTCTTGAGTAACTTTCGTGTGCGCTTTATCTTCAGGGCCGGCGCTGCTAGAAGATAGATATATACAGAGTCAGAGAGAGATGGAAAATCCAACCTGTATTAAAGTAATTTGCCAAGTTTAAGGCCGCTCCCCCTCCCCGCCTGCACTCCTTTTTGCCGCTTGACTGCGGCTTGAAGAAAAAGCAGAAAAAAAAGGAGCAACAACAATGAGCATGCGGCCATATGCATAGGCTCACCTTTTGTTAGCTTGCCACCACTTGGGGCAACCAGGAACCAAGAAAAACAACAGCAACAACAAGTGGAGGAGCTCTCTGCTCTGCTCTGCTCGCTTTAGTAACTGAGTTTAGTTTTTCTATAGACCGGAAGTTGGCCGGGCATATATAAAAGACTTTCCGCTGCTTTCCGGTGAAATGTTGCAACCCAGACATGAGTAGACACCCACACACACACGCACAACAATGCACACAGTGCAGCAGAGCAGCAGCGAGGCGGCCATCAACTGAAGCAGAAGAGCAATTGGATGATGGAAGGAAGGTCTGAAGTAGCATCTGGTCTGGGGCCCAACGAACTTGAAGTGAATGCAGAACGTCACTCAGACAAAGAGAAGCGGATTGAGAGCTAATTTGAAGAGAGACATTCAAGAAATAAAATCTGTTGTTCTGTTTCTGATGGATGCCAGCTGGGAATGTGTTTATCTGCCCCATGGCTGGAATATTTACTCCGCAGAACTTGATCACTTGCGACGAATACCTTTGCTTGGCGGCTAAGTTCGAGCTGGAATTAATGCGGTATTAATGCGTTTTTCATGTCTCAAGCACAACAAATCATTGGGTGGCTTTAAGCACTCGTCTGCCTCTGCCTTTAACCCACTAAATGATTGTTGGGGGCTCTCCACAGCTGCAATGGAGCTCGCTCTGTCTTCGGCCTTCAGCTAGGAGTCTCTCCGGCAGTGAGCAAACATTTTGCCAGCCACTGGTCAAGCACAAAATCCAATCCCAAGCTCTGATTCGAGTAGAACACAGCCAGAGTGGATGGGGATGGATGGGCCGTTGGATGGGCCCTTGGATGGGTTTCAGTGTGAGTGGAACACAAAAGGCTGTTGAGAATTGATTTCCTGTTTAGACATTTAGGCCGATTTGGTAACCATTGGGCAAAGTTCAAAGGGAGGCCAGGTGTCTACAGAGTGGACAGTGGGTATTGTTGCTGCAGCAGATCAAACGGACAGCTTGGACTTTGAATCCTTGGGCTTATGGATAAGGATGCCTGCCTGGCGACCGAGACCCCAACACAGTTAACAGAGGTTAAGTACGTCCACAGCCTAGAGATGCCTCAAGCCCCGCCCGTGCCCCACAGTCGCCGACATAATCTTATTTATTTGTTTGGATTTTGAGGTAAGCTGTAATGAAATGTTTTTCTACATATTTTTTTTATGTTTGTTTCCATTTCCATTTCCGTTTTTTATTTTATTTTAATTTATTTTATTTCGGTCGGTCTTTAACTGCTTGTGTGAACACTTTCAATTGGTTTTATTCAACCTAAGTGGCCGTCTGGCATTAATTTAACGTAATGTAATGTAATGTGTTTCATTCGATCCGTAAGTTATGCAAATTAAATGGCATTTCAATAAAATTGAACAGGCTGACTGAGTTTTTGCCTCGTCTTTTTTTGTTTGTTTTTTTGTTTTTTTGTTTGGTTGCCCCTCGAAGCCAGTTTGTGGCTGTTTTCGCACGTGGCAAGTGCGGTGAGCTAATGAAATGCAGTTCATTGTACAACATGGCATCGCATCGGATATGCCAGGCATTTATCGATGGCTGGGCAGAGGGATATTTAATAAAGTGGATCGAGCGAACATATGCTGGAAATGTGAGAGGTGTGCCCCAGGTCGGAGGATAATTGTGTAAACAATGAATTAAACAAGTGCCAGAGTGGAGTGGTGGAGTGGCATCAATGGATAAAATGCCTGTACTTGAACGCGATTACAATTTCAGATGGCGGTGTCATCTTGGAGATTTCAAAATTGAATGGGGAAATTTTCCAAAAAAATATTCAACAAAATAATTCATGTAATTTATGTTTTGTAATAAATGCAAGTAAATTTCCAAAGCTATTAAATTAAAAATAAAGCTGCGTTCATTTGTCACTTGATAGCCTTTATCGATGTCCATTGTTTGCCTGTCTACTTGAGATTTAAAGCCAGCATTGAATACCCTTTGATAACAGAACTTTAATTCTATATAAGGTACATGCTGTACTCCTTTCATTACACCATATACACTGTCCATTACACAATGCAATCTCCTGTTAATTTTGGCCCACGCCATGGCCTATCAAGCCACTCATAATTCTTGGGGCAGCAAGCAACTTGGCAATTTGCAATAAAACACTGTCAGAAATATTATGTAGATTTCAGTGCGCCCATCTGGGCCTCCACTCTGCTCTTCATTTATTTCATTAACTACAAAGGAGCCCAACAGCAAGAGAGACAGAGAGAGAGGTAGGCCAAAATCCGCCGCAGGCAACGACTTGGCCAAAAGTGACAAATTGTTTCAATTCACAAAAGGACAACAAAAAAAAAGGAGTAAGTAAGAAACGAAAAGCAGCAACAACAAAGACAAAAGCCTGTACAATAATGGCCTAGACCATAGATAAGGGGGCGAAGAGAGCTGCACCCAGAGTTAGGAGGGCATGTGCTTTATAACCCTTTTCTGGTTTTGGTTCTGGGCCTGAGCTTGCTTTCCATTCATTTTTGTATGTGTTTTTTTTTTTATATTAAATATCCCTTTTTGTTGTTTTAGCCCCGTTGTTGTTTTCTTTGTGTCATTAGCCGCCGTGTCCGTGTCCATCTCTCTCCAGTCCGTGCCACTGCCCGTGTCCGTGTCCGTGTCCCTTTTTATCTGTTGTACATGACATTTTGGCCTTTCTCATAAGTTCCGGGACAGGCCAGAAGAAAGGCGGACAAAAGGTAGTCCAAAGAATGATGACGGCAATTTGCGGCTGATCCTTGCTGCTCTCCACTCTCCACTCTCACTCGGATTCCTTCTCTCTGCCCCCCTGTTCTCTGTCTCTCTTTGCATGGGCACCTCTTTTATGACTATTCCACATAATTATCTTAATTTCAGCTAAAAGCAGGCACCGAAATTCTCTTGGATTTCCTTTTTTTTTCGAATTTAGGAGCAGCCGAATTGCTGCTGTTTGGCAATGCGCTTTTGGACACGCTCTGCTTTCTTGGTGACAATTGCATAGTGATGCAAGAGTGATTGAAATTAAAGGTCGAATAAAATATTGAACGATCTGCGCTTACAGCACAGTTTATGTGCATGTGAATTGCAGAAAATGTCCACTGGCTATAAATGATTTTCCCA